CACACGACAGGGATCGCATTTGCAGGAATGGTGCTAACCATACATTTATATTCTAGTCAACAAAAGTATCGGATACACAAGTTTGAACTCTAGTTTATCATAAAATATAATAAATAGGGAAAACTGATGAATTATCCAATGAAAAGCATTTATTTGCAAAGCAAGTGCATATGATTAAAAGAATCTGACCAAATTGGAAAGTGAGAAAATACCGTGTTATTGACTGTGACACAGGGGTCAAATTTATTTTTGTGGAAAATGATGACAAAAGTCGGCACTTAATTTCGGAGATGAGAATTAAGTATTCAAATATCTGCACAGGCATTCAAAATTTTAAGCAGATCATGTTTAAGTTTTAAGTTCTAATGACGATTTTAGAATTTTGGGGTGAAAATACGATTTTTGAAATAACAAAAATTGCAAAAAAATAATTTCGCGTATAATTTTGCCTTAAATCAATGGGTTTGATAAGAAAATAACACTCTGCAAATGTTAGACCAATTGGGCAATTATTTAGTTTGGTACAGTGTATCCAATTTCATTATATAGAAAATACATTGCCTTGTATCGTTTCTTTTGTTGACTAGTATAAAATTCTTAATAATCTAAGGCAGTGCTTTGTTGTAAAAAGCCTGTGTTTGGTCATTAGCTGATAAATACCGGAAGCTCATACAACAGCGCGCTCTTTTTGGATTGAAAAAGGTAAACATTAGTCAGAACTGTCAATGACAATGTGCTCGTTGTTGTCACTGATACATTTTTCAACCTCAAACAAACAATGTGAAACAAAAAACAAAAATGAATAATAGGTCAGAGTATTATAATATTGTTTCGCACAGGGCTCAAGATTCAACAATGTGAAAGATTAACATAACTTCATAAACACCATAGATCTGCATTTGTCTTTATTTTATTTTCTGATGACACATCAATTAAACTACACAGAACCCAGGAGGATAATAATACACAAAATCTTTTATAGGTATAACTATACTTATATACAGGAAACAAGTAACAATTAATGCCTTTTTCATATACATTACTCATTAGTCATTATGAAGGAGATTTAGTAAATGAATACATGTATGCTATAAGGTACATAGTCAGATAATTATGATGTCTTGAAAGGCTATTATATTTATTTGCTTTGACGCCCAAGTCAAATAATTATGACGTCTTGAAGGGCAAAGCAAATAAATATAATAGCCTTTCAAGACGTCATAATTATTTGGACTACAAATCAATACTGAAAAAAGTTCAAAATATTAATAGAATAATTATAACATACAGTAGTGGCCGGTAATTCCGCCCATCGGGTAAACCCGCCCACTCCTATTTCTTCCGTAATTGTCATTTCCGTGAAAATTTTGTCTGCTATTTTATTCATAGGATCTGTACGTATCATCACTGCATGTCAAACTTTGAAAAGAAAAATCCTTTATTACGCAGGGGTTCAATTTAGCGGTGGTCCGAGGTCCCCGCCCTTCCACTATTGCAATCAGACTTTTCGTTTTGGTTACTAGCTACGCCGACTGACCTTCCATTTGAAAGAAAAAAATTAACTTTGCCGACCTTTTAAACCATCAGTATGGTCATTTCAAAGCCATATTACTATTGACATCGTATACCCCTCCACGCATTTTTCTAGCATTCCACAGGGTCCGGTATTCGGATCCATTCCCAATGACAAATACCCTACATTTTTGTACGCCCGTCAAATTTTTGACGGGACGTATTATGTTATACAAATGTCCGGCGTCCGTCCATCTGTCTGTCCGTCTGTCTGTCCGGCGTAAACATGTCTCACCGTAACTTGAGAATGACTTATCCAAATTTCATGAAACTTAACATAGTTGTTTCTTATGATGGTCAAACGATCTGTATACTTTTTGGTGAAAATAAGATTAAAACTTTTTGAGTTACGGGACTTAGTAACTAAAACAGGTGTGTGTTTTTTTTCACATGTCGCGCCGTATCTCAAAAACAATTTATTATTATTGCTTAAAACTTTACACACTTCTTAGTTATATTAATCTTAAGATCTGTTTACTTTTTGGTGATGATTCAAAATTTTATTTTTGAGTTATTGAGTATTTTGTTAAAAAGGGGGAGGGGTTTTTCACATGTCGCGCCGTATCTCAAAAACAGTTTATGATTATTGCTTAAAACTTTACACACTTCTTAGTTATATTAACCTTAAGATCTGTATACTTTTTGGTTTTGATTCAAAATTTTATTTTTGAGTTATTGAGTATTTTGTAAAAAAAGGGGGAGGGGTTTTTCACATGTCGCGCCATATCTCAAAAATGATTTATGATTATTGCTTAAAATTTTACACACTTCTTAGTTATATTAATCTAAAGATCTGTATACTTTTTGGTTTTGATTCAAAATTTTATTTTTGAGATATTGATTTTTTTTTTAAAAGGGGTGTTTTCACATGTTGCGCCGTATCTCAAAAAAGATTTATGATTATTGCTTAAAATTTTACACACTTCTTAGTTATATTAATCTAAAGATCTGTATACTTTTTGGTTTTGATTCAAAATTTTATTTTATAGATATTGAGTTTTTTGTAAAAAAAAAAGGGGGTTTTCGCATGTCACGCCGTATGTCAGAAACTATTTATGCTTATTGCATAAAAATTCACACACAAGACGACGGGCTTATCATGCGCTCATGGCGCAGCTGTTTATTCCCAATTTTGGGACCAAAATTTCCAAACGATCTCAAAATTTGTTTTCATCTTTATTATTCATGACAGCGATCATGTTCATTTTGTTCAACCGCTAGCTTTATACCGAAAATCGCCAACAAGTGATGTGTAAATCCGAGTAAAATCGTATCTGACTGACAAAAACAACATTGAAAAACAATGGATGCCATAAACCGAAAATGAGGACAATTACAATACCGGATCAGATTCCGTGAGCAGATAAGGGTAGTTCTGGGTTTGCCGATCAAATACAATAAAAAAATAGTAATTTCAGGCAGGTGACAAAATACATCTATGATGATGAAATATAAACACTAGAATTGAAAACCAAAAGATATATGGAAAGAAAGAAAAAGCAGGAAATATTTCATACAGAAACTCAAAATTATTTTTAGTTCACAAATTTTCATGTCAAAATCCAATAAAATGTGACAGTAATTTTCTTTATCATTAATAAATGTTGATATTAAATGTAGATGTTTATACAGTGTAAACATATTACTACAATTCCAAGAGGTAATTTCCTCTCAATTTTGAAGGTCTAGTAAAAATCTGGAAGTTTCTTACTTTATTTTCACAGAGGAAATAGTGCAACTAGATATGATGCACTTAAACAGCTTTGAATTTGAACTGTTACTTTAATTTTATACTCTATTATGAATTGAACAATATAAAAAAGAGATACATATAGCCCTTTATATTATAGTAAAAACCAAACATTGTAGCACCTTGAGTTAGCACTTCTCTTCCAAATCTCACCACTTCTCCCTATCAATTTCAAAAATAGAAGTCACTTCTCCCTATGATTCTGAAGTAGTGTGAGCCCTGAGATAATGGTATAATTAGTAATTAATTACCAATCGTTGAGACAACACACCCACCCGCAGTGACACCCTCCCCAATACCACAAAAAAGATTATTTGAATTCCTAATATACAAGACAATTACATTTATTATTTAACATGTTATACAACAGTGACATTGACAATGAAACAAGCGCACCTAACACCAAAAGCACATTAATTTTATATCTTACTGAGTTATAAAATATTTCAAGTAAAAGTAGGACCTGGAATTTAGGTTGTGGACCTTTCAGTTTGGAGTGTCAAAGGTCCTTGACCTTCTAGTACCAAATGTTAATTTAAACCCTATTACGAAAATTCATTTCTGACTTGAAATTTTTTTTTGGATTATCTGGAATTTCTTTATAAGTGGTCTATTAGAAAATAGTTCACCTTTTCAATCATAAATTTGTGATAAACTGGCCCTCCATACATATTTACTGGGCATGGGCAGATTTACTGGACAAACACATTTCATGATAAAAACACGGATGACCCACTTGTTTTGTTGATTTTAAAATTTTATTTCATATAATTTTTGGAAAATGAGATAAACTACTCAAAATTGATTTGTCAGTGAATCGATTTATATTAAATTTGATACAATTTGTATATATTTGAGCAGAAATACATATGATCAAAGCCTTATGTGGACAGATTTACAGGACTGCATCGTACATGTACAAGTACACAGGGCTCACACTACTTCAGAATCATAGGGAGAAGTGAATTCTCTTTTTGAAACTGAGAGGGAGAAGTGGTGAGATTTGAAAGAGAAGTGCTTGTTGGCTCACGGCGCTACACTGTTTCGTTTTTATTATTATACAAAGGGCCATATGTATCTTATTTTTTTATATTGTTCAATTTGTACCTGGGAATACAATAAAAGTAACAGTTCAAATTCAAAGTTGTGTAATTTTATCATATCTACAGTAGTTGCACTATTATATTAGTCCTCTTGTTAGAAAAAAAGTTAAATATCTAGCAATAATATAAAAGATTTTTTTATATCAAAAATGAAAAGAAAGATGTTATATCAAGTAGAATTCAATTTAAAATGTACTCTGTTATCATGGTTATGAAATTCAGTGTTTCTCATTAAAAAAATATATAAATTTAACACAGTTAAGCTTGGACTTAGTATTCACTTTTGACGGTCGGTTCGAGCCCTGACACATATGATGAAAATGAATAAAAAAAAATGAAATTGCAAAAAAAAAAACACAACCTTTTAATGTTGAAATCCCTCTTAAATGAACCACAATTCTCATTGTATACTGGAAAAATAATCAAGAAATGATAAGAAAAATACTATTTAGATTTATTCGTCCTTTTTTACTCATAACAACACTCATTTGAGTATATAGCATGCAGGTGTCACTTTATTAAACCAATCAACTATTTGTATAAGTCAATGAGATTCTTTTTATTTTTGCAGATGTTTTATTGTTACACATTTCACCAAATGCTAGTGGTACAGCAATGATTTGTCCAGAGGTATAGACAAAATAGTTCAATCTAAAAAGATATCAGCAAGTTTACCAAAAACTTTTTTTTATTACTGTTCATCATGGACAAAAAGTTAGTGAACACAGCCAATGAAGGAGATGCTCAGAAAGTGGCAGAACTTTTACAGACTATTAGTGAAGATGAGGTATGAAATAAACTACACTAATAACTCCTTGATTCCAGAAATATCGTTGTCTGAAACTGATATTATGTCTCAGAATTTTAAAGTGCATTTATATGGTTTCTGAATTATTTATAACATGCAGTTTATGTACATGACTATGAAAATTATGAGAGGTTATAATGGATCTGATGTAAAAGGAAAACTGTAATAGATAGAAAGAAACATTAACTGTACTAAGCAAAAATTTGTCTATGTCAATAAGAGTAATTGCCCTTGAATGACAATTTTACAGATTTTTGTGTGTGGTTTTTTTTTTTGAAAATGAAGTGCATGTTCATAGAGAGAAACTATATATAAATGGCAAAAATTATCAGCAAAATAAGATCTACAAATAAGACTACATGGCATCAGTGGACTCCTGATGAGTAACTGTCCTTGAATGATGATTATCACCTATTTTTGTGGAAACTATAGTTGATAGAGAGGAGCTGTAAATAGCAAAATAAGATTATAGGAGTTATTGCCCCTGGAAGACATTTTACCCACTTTTTGTGTTTTTAGAAATCTGTAATAGTAGATAGACAATGATCATGATAGAGGGAACTAATACAGGCCCATTAGAGTTAATTTGTTTTAACATACCTTAATTGTTGAATTGTAGAGTTTAAGTAAAAATACTTTTGTTTAAAAACTGTTTCATAATTTGTGTTTTCAGAACTTGCCTAGAGATTTAGAATCTCCATGATATGATAATACAACTGAAATACAATAAAATAAGACTTATTTGATAATACTTTCATACATTTCAGTGATCGCCCCAGGCCGTTTTAGCGTCGCGGTGCCGCGACGCTATAATTATTTTGAGGATGCTATTTTTTGTAGTCTCTCTATACATTGCCGCAAAATCGATGTCCTAATTTTTGAACTTTCGTCTAATTACCGCTTGTGATCAAGAAATTAAATCACCTTTAATTGTAATCCATTCAAGTCAGGCAATAGAGGCAATTAAGAGTGATTAAATAGGTGTTAATTGCCCTTTGGGTGATAACTGTTTGGATACGAATACCTCAAGCTGACACTTATGACATCACTAGTAACACGTGGTCCAATCGCAAATTTTGACATTTAGAAAATGGAAACAGAAAATCATAAACAATTCGAAATCTAAGTTTGCACCATGGCATAACCGTCTCCCAAGAGAAGAAAAAAAAATTATGCAGGGTACCTCGATGTCGACAAAATGGCTGACCAAACCAAGTTGTAAAATTATGCAATGTTGATTAAACAGCAATTTTTCATTTATATGTAAAAAAAATTCAATAAGATATAAACAAGTTAATTCCTTTCGAAAAGAGGTGAAAGCACTGACTTTACAGATTGGTCCTATGTTATTTCAAACCAACAACTTTTAAAGAAGTATTTTCTTTCCCTTCCGGTCCTTGTTACCCAAGAGAGTACATTAGACATTCTGATTTTCGGCAAAATAAGTTTGATACTTCATTAGAACGTGATGAAAATTGCTTTTTGTTAATGTTTCATATATTTATTGCATTAAAAGCGTCATATTCATTCCAAATCGCTTGTCAAACATTGTTTATTTTTGTAAATTTTTCTTTGACCACCATTGAAATATTTGAACAAACTATAGATCGGATGCGAAATTCATCGGAAGCGGACCAGCTATGACCAAAATCCGCATTTTTAAAACAGTTAACAGAATAATAATGATCCCAAAAGGAAAAAATATGCATTCCACACACATTAACAGATTTTTTGTTATATCTCCTTGTTAAATGTATTTATTTTTATGTAAATGCATTATTTCAAGTTACTGATTAAAGTAGCTTAACTTTGTTAAAAATATATACAATGTATCTTTTTGATAAGAAACAACTGGGACTAATACATTGAGTTCCAGGAAACAATGAATTTCATAAACATGATAAACAGAATAGTTTTTTATTTGAAATTTTACTAATATATGATACTTTTTTTTTCCTTTTTGATAAAAAAAAGTTCTTTTTTGTACTATATATTTAGTTGGTATTTTCTGAAAAGAGGAAAAATATAATTCTGTAACTATAAATGAATATGGAAGACATAAACTGAAACAGCTGTTTAAACTCAGTTATGAAATGAACAATATAAACATTATAGAGCATCACCGCAACGCGACAAATGACATCGACAACATACAATTTATCTTTTTTACGCCAAATGTGATGCTATTCAAAATTTCTGGGAAGAACACTGCATGTATAAGTCTACAGTACTTTTGTCAGAAAATATAGAATTTACATATATTTAATACTACATACATGTATATTATCACACTCATATTATGTAAAAATTGTATGTTCAGCATGTACAGTTAGAAATAAAACAATAGTTTGCATCAAAAGATATTCTGTCACACTTAAGCTTGAAATGAAACAGGTTTATCTATGGTAATGTGAGATATACCTGATCAAAATCGTCATTTTATAAGACTACCAATATTTGATAGAGGAGGTGTTTACATGAATTTTATTGTTGTTTTCCAGCTTGTCCATCTTATACAAGGCAGAGCTTTGAGAGGAAAAGGTGATCCTGTTGATTTAGTTAGAGCTGTTTTATTAGGTATAATTCAGATTTTTTTATTAGAACTAGTTAACCGTAATCATTCTTCAATGCCATTGTTATGACTACATGTATATTTTAATATTTCGTCATAGGAGCTATCAACTTTCTCACTTTCTTGTGCCATACATTTATAGTTTTTGGAGAAAAAGCTGATTTTCTTCGTGAACAAAATAGAAAGTAGATAGTTGAATATGTTGGTAAGGCTTTATTTAGTCCCTGATAAAATATGGAAACCGGAATTGAATTTTAAGGATATATTTTAAAAGGCATTTTCACATTATGACATTATAGAAACTAGCAACCTATCATAAGCAGCTGTTATTTTCAGTTTTCAATGTAATCGTATGAAAAAGCCAATAACTCATTTTACCAAATAGGTATTCATATTGTTTTGAAGAATAAGTCTGCTGTGAAATATTTGTTTGGTTTTTAAATGAAATCTTTATTTGCTCAACATTAACATGCTTCAAATATGGACCTTTTGTGACTTTTCTCAGAAATTATAGTGTAGTCTTGTTTATGAATTAAGTTTATAGATTAACAAGTTTTCTGCACATTGATATTGTAAAATATTAGTTACGAGAGACAATGTGAACCTTTTTGGAAAGAGAAGGCAGGTAACGATCAAGAAAGCTTCATATTTGGTAGAGCAGCTAATAATTTTTTAATATCTATACGCAGAAAACTGTTAATCATACTTTTTTCTGGTCTTTTCGCCCAGTCTTAGAAAGTTTTAAGCTTGATGAAAGTAAGTTTGATAATGTCTCCTCAAACATTGTGACATAGCATATAACTTCTCTTCACACATTGTGACAGCATATAGCTTCTCCTCAAACATTCTGATATGGTGGATAAGTGCTGCTCACATCTCAAAACTGTGATACAAAATTTACGGAGCGACTGAACAGGGTGATATAGGCGAAGGGAATGACATTAATCATCTTTATAGATTATATGATATTGATCATCTATTTAAATTTTGAAAAAAATGTACGAAACTTACTCTCTGTGGAAAAGAAGTATGTTAAAAATTCTTTGTTAAAAAAAAATTGATAGCAATTTTTTAGTTTTAAATTTTTTTTTAGATAATGTCTCTTCAGACTTCATTACTCATTTATTCAGCACCTCAGGTCTTTTAAAGTTTATAATAAAATTTTGCAGCTTAAGGGAAAAAATGCAGATTAGAATTTGTTAAATACAATGTACCACAAATCAAGTATCCAGTGATTACAAATATAAGATTTTTAAAGAATCTATGAAAATTGTTACCTTATAAAAAAGCTGTGCCTAGAACATATATACAACTGTATTTTTGTATTAAAGGATCATCTGATGGAAGTAGTAAATCAAACAAAATCAGAATACAAGTGTACAAGTCATGTGTCCAGTTACTGGAGAAAAATGAAATGCAAAACAAACTAGCTTCAGATCTAGTTGGTTTATTGATGTTACAGGTATTATAACTCATCAAAGATACCAGGCTTATCATTTGGTACACCGGGTATAAAAATAAGAAGATGTGGTTTTATTGTCAATGAAACAACTCTCCACAAGAGACCAAATGACATAGAAATTAACAACTATAGGTCATCGTACGGCCTTCAACAATGAATTAAACCCATACCTCACAGGCCCAGAAATGACAAATGTAAAACAATTCAAACGTTCAGCCAAATTTATGTACAAAATAATGAATGAAAAACAAATATGATATACAGCAATAAACGACAACCACTGAATTCCAGGCTCTTGACTTAGGACAAGCACATACAGAATGTGGTGGGGTTAAAATAGTTTGAAGGCGCTAACCTTCCCTCTAACCTGGGACAGTGGTGTAACAGTACAACATAAGAAAAAACTATAAAAATCAGTTGAAAAGGGCTTATGCACTTTTTGTCTTCAAAAGACTCATCAGTAACTCTCAAATCAAAAACATTAAAAGGCCAAATAAAGTAAGAAGGTGACAAGCAACTCATTTAAGTCTAAATTCTTAGATGGGAGAAAGAATAGAAACATTGTTCCAGTTTAAGCAACAAAAATCTTTAGACTTAATGTGTTGATATGTCTCTTCAATCATGACAATACAATTTTTTCCACTTGCATAATTCTGACATTAGCTCTAAAAAGTTTCTTTTTAAAAGTTATTTTTAACTTGTCCAAAACAGAATAGATATAATCTTTCAAATGCTTGCGTTTACTTTTTAAAAAGTAGATACCAAGAGGAAGTTCAAAACTCATAAGTCAACCAAAATGGTACAACGCAAGTGCAAAAACCGAAAAGACAAAAGTCCACCAAACAGTACATAGAAAATGACCAATATATGATGTTAACTTCAATGTAATATATTTAAATTTCTGTATGTATAGGTGTTATATCTTGAATTGAACAGTTTCCCTTGTTTTCTTTAGGCTGATTCATTGACTGGTCCAGCTTTAGTAGAAATAGCCAATCAATTTTCAGATCTGGTGAAAAATGGACAAATACAGTCAGGCAGGTAAGTGTTCATAGAAATTGACTTCCAGATAAAATTGGATTGTTTCAGAATTTATATAAGTTTTATAAGTACAGTTATAGTATTAAAAAATTATCCAAAGTATATCTCACTGAGCAGTTTATTTGTATAGAGTTAATAAGGGCAGTTTAAGACAACAGGAAAATGGGGATCTGAAGGCATTTTACTCTTTGAACTAAATATTGACAATTCATATTTCTGGAAAAGCTGCATGCTGTATAAACTTAACCTTAAACCCTAATTGTAGTTCAGTACCAACTAAGAGTTAAACCTTGTGGATAGAAGAAAATATATTTTTAGCTCATCATTTGGTGCCAATGAAAGTTCAAAATGGCCATCAGTAAAGGTCAAAATTTACTTTTAAATCCTTATAAAAATGAGATTTTGATTTCATTTTCAAGAACAGATAAAGTAAAATGAAATAAAACCATCAATGAATGTTCGTAAATACTTATATAGGTGCTGACTAAATGTAGTTACTTTGGTAGTGATTGAAAAAAAAAAACAAGTATGCTCCAAAGTGTCAAAAAGGGGACAGATTGGTCTGAATTATGAAGATTGTCTTCTTAAAACCAACAAACTTTTAAAAACTATTGTATCAATGACACAAAACTTCATTCATGTTTTTATTGAAGGTCTATGATAAGTGTGTTACTTTGATGTTTATTTGAAATTCTAAATGACTCCAGAAGGAGATCAAAGTTTAAACTCATAAACCCTATGAAAATTAGATTTGGCTTCATTTTTAAGAGCAGATGAAATGGAATCAAACCATGAAGAATATTCTTCGGGAGATATTCACTGAGTGTTGTTACTTTGGTACTGTTGAAAAGTTCAATGTAGCTCCAAGAGACCAGAAAGAGGTTCTATTGATCCAAATTAAAATAAACTCAAAGAACTGTTGTCCAAATTTTAGATTTTTTTTATTAAATGACAATATACATTAGAACATCTTATAAAAAAGGCCTGAATTCAACTAAAAAATATTGGGAAAAGTCTTGTCATTTAATTTAATATGTTATACTGTTGTAGAGGTTTGGAGTTGTTGCCAAAAATCATGTCATCCATTGCTGCAGAAGAGACTGTAGTTTACGGTGATGGGAGTATGAAGGGAACTGAATATAAAAGTCACATACAGAACAGTCTTTGTGCATGCAAGTATGTATATATAAGGTCAAAAGGTTAGCAACAAAAAAATAGATTTACTGCAATGGAATTAATTTGTCAAACCGATACATGTGTCTTATTTAAGAAGTAAATGCTTCTTTTTGTAATTTTATTGGGGTGTAAAAGTGTTGACCGAAGGACATTTTGTATGAAGCGCAGTAGCGCTTCATTCTAAAAATGTGTGCACAATAAACACTTTTACACCCCAATAAAATTCTGAAAAGAAGCATTCATTTCTTATAATTACATTTTTATGCTAATAAGACCATAAAAAAAAGGTTTTATCAAGTTTTTCTTTTATTTACCTGTGCACTTTTTTATGGAAGCACGTGTCATCACGAATGTAACATTTGATTTTGATATGAAGGTTAATTTTTGAATGACGCACGATTGTTGTTAGCCAATCAAACTAACGGATTCTCGTGAAACATACATGTAATGTAATTATTTAAAAGACAAGGGGATGTAGTATGCTTATATTACCCATCATCATATGATATTATATTGGATTGGGAGGTATGATTCTCTCTAAAGAGATTCTATCTACTGTGTGAATATCTTTATGTTAATGATATGATGTAAAAGAGATAAATTTGAATAATTGGGATATTAAATTATACATTGGTTCAAAATGTATGGAAGGTTGATAAAGATAGAAAAAATTATATATATTACAACAAATTGTATTCACTTTCCATCATTGACTTTAAAAATTTTGAAAAGTGAAGCTTACAATCCTCAGCAATGTTTACACAATTTGCACAACACATAAGAACTGTTCTGTGGCTTAAGACTTAACAGAAAAAAGATATTGACCAATACCAAGACTACTCACATAACAAATGTAATTGACAGGAAAAATGTCCCTGTTTTAGAGAAAATGGTGTACTTAAAAAGATGGTTTAAACAGCAAACTTATTCTTCAACATAGGAAATATTGTACATCCTATGTGTCAGTGAATTTTTGTTTCAATAAATTAGTTCAAACATTGTTCACGTGCATTATTAGCTGTCAACTCATATGCAACTTAAGAGTTCAAAATAAGGACATTGTTCAATCAACATTTATTGTACATATAGTTACATTGAAGTTAATCAAAAGTTTTGCCTTGAAATTCACGAAAATGGCAGATATACAGGAATATCCTTAGTCAGAATTTCTAACTTTTGGTAGGGTGTTTTATATTAGTGTTAAAGTTATTTCCCTTTCCCCAATTCATTTTAGTTTCAGAATTACCTATATATTCTTTTATACATTTGTAAGAGGCAGTTCTTTATTGGTATGAATAAAGCAGGTACTGAAGATAAAGGAAGTTTTTCAAGTGCTTATGAGAAAGCCATATGTTTGTAACAGTTACCATTAAGAACTATGTCTGTTGATACCATCCTTGAAAAAAAAATAACCTGATAAAACCTGGAATTTTGTGTTGCATAAAGAGTGGGAAAACTGAATACATAAAAGAAATGTAACTTGTCAACAATGTGTTAAATTGTTTTATAGGTTTCAAGTTTATATTATTACATCATTTTTTTATCAGATGGAGTTCAAAGAGTGTAATTCATCTAGCAGCCATGTTTAAAGATGTACAGATGTCTTTAGATGAACTGAAATTTGTCATTGACAAAATTATACGTCTTTTCAAAGACACTGACTTACAAGATTTACCTGCCCTTATTTACCAGCTGCTGTTATTATCAACAAAGGTATTACTTTAAAATTACAAAGAGATAAACTTATAACCTGCAGTGCTTTTCCATTCCATAATAAGATACATGTACATGGAATATGTATTTGATAAATTAAGTTGTCTTTTTCCAACAAGAATCACCTCTTTTAGAATTTCATTTATTTTTTCAGTTCAACCTTGGTATATTCACCAGGAGTGTATAATTTTGATTTGAAAATGTTTTTTGTTTGGCTTTTTTTATTAGCCCAAACTATTATTAATTTCTAGGAATTATAGAAATGATACATGCATTTTAAACAAATGATTAAAATATCCCTTGTTGAAGTAATTCCTTGCTGACTCAAATATGACAAGAACATGGATCCATATCATTGTTATAGTTTCCTGTTTATTTTAGGGACACAAAAGACTTGTCATTGAAGGTATAATTAATTTCTATGTAGAAAAAGATAAACAGCAACATGGTAGAAGTGAAAATGAATTGAGGTTTGTTCTGACTTTTTATTGGCTTTAAGTTTCTTGACTATTAAAACAGCAATGGAGAAAAAGAAAAAAATTATAACACCAGAATGAGACAATAAATGGGCCAAAACAAAAGACTCATAGAAATGTGTACAAGATCAAAGACAAACCTAAATGATGGGCAATACATAATAACTGGTACATTGAAGTTAAGCGTGGTTCATAAAACATACAAACAAATCTAGTGGACAAATTAAAATATTGTTATACATAAAGCATTATGTTAAATGTTAATGTTTATCAGCATCCTTTTATACAAATTAACATTCTTTAAGTTTCTCAAATAATGAGAACTATTTAGATTATATTTATTTTATTTTTATACCAGAAACTGTTTTGTATACATCAGAGATATCAGGTACCAGAAAAATATAAATGATACCTCTTAATTGTGGACTTTTAATTGATATAAAAATTAATCACTACATATTGAAATCAAGGCAAAAATAAATGCAAAAGGTCCATAAAATAATCATTACTATTACATTGTTACAGTGAAGATTTGATGAGTGATGAAACAGATATAGAAGTATTGAGGCACACAGAAGGGACTGTTATTTTACACATTAGTTTTGCTGTTAAACAAGACCAAGAACTAGGAAGGGAATTCATTAAGTTGCTGAAGGTACTTTTTTTAAACAAGGAGTAGGAAGTACGGAAAACACAAAAGTTCCTCTGTCAATGGTTTAATCTAATTCATTACAATTAATAACAAAATAACAAATTAACAATGGTTGAAGAGAGTATTTACATAAAACAACTATTTCATGAAGTACAAGAAAATAACAAATATGTCAAAGCAACGGCACCTTTTTCCACATTCTTATTCTTGAAAGTTTGTTAAAGGGGTGCTGACAATAAAATCAAGACTGTTCGTATAGTTGACTTTAACAGTACTGTTTGATGTTTATGTTAAATCAGTCTGTTTGATGAATTCTAGACATTTGTTAGTTATTTGTGTTAATGGCCTATATAGTACACCTTTATTGTCGAGCCTTCGACTTTAGTCGAAAAAGCGAGACAAAGCTATCCTACTTTCCGGCGGCGGCGTCCACAAATATTCACTCTGTGGTTAAAGTTTTTGAAATTTTAATAACTTTCTTAAACTATCCTGGATTTCTACCAAGCTTGGACAGAAGCTTGTTTATGATCATAAGATAGTATCCAGAAGTAAATTTTGTAAAAATAAAATTCCATTTTTTCCATATTTTACTTATAAATGGACTTAGTTTTTCTGCCGGGAAATATTACATTCACTCTGTGGTTAAAGTTTTTAAAATTTTAATAACTTTCTTAAACTATCCTGGGTTTCTACCAAACTTGGACAGAAGCTTGTTTATGATCATAACATAGTATCCAGAAGTAAATTTTGTAAAAAAAAAAAATCCATTTTTTCCTTATTTTACTTTTAAATGGACTTAGATTTTCTGCCAGGAAACAACACATTCACTCTGTGATTAAAGTTTTTAAAATATTAATAACTTTCTTATACTATTTTGGATTTGTACCAAACTTGGACAGAAGCTTGTTTATGATCAAAAGCTAGTATCTAGAAGGAAATTTTGTAAAAAAAATAAATCCATTTTTTCCGTATTTTACTTTTAAATGGACTTAGATTTTCTGCCAGGAAACAACACATTCACTCTGTGGTTAAAGTTTTTAAAATTTTAATAACTTTCTTGTACTATTTTGGATTTGTACCAAACTTGGACAGAAGCTTGTTTATGATCAAATGCTAGTATCTAGAAGGAAATTTTTGTTTTCTTCCAGTTAACATTACATTCAGTCTGCAGTTAAAGTTTTTAAACATTTATTAGATTCATAAACTATCCTGGATTTTTACCAAACTTGAACAGAAGCTTCTTACAATCAAAAGATAGTATCAAGAGGAATATTTTTATTGATTTACTTCCTCATTTTTGTTGAGCCTGCGATTAACAGAAAAAGTAGGCGAGACACTGGGTTCTGTTGAACCCTTACGAATTTTTCATATTCATGTTGTTTCGCTTGTAACATTGACTGATAGAATTTTATTCATCAATATTCAGTGCTAATTGTTTATCCATTGATGGCAACAACTAAATTAGGCAGGAATCAAGGAACAGGTGATAATGGGCAGAACAGGGCACAGATCAAATTGCTGTCCACACCTGCAAAACTTCAAATGAAACAATACAGAAAAAGGTTTCAAAGTCCTGATCTGTGTCTTTTAAAAGTCTTTATTAAAGAAACAGAATCTTCAAAGATTATTTTAGATTTTACTCACATTGATTTCTGAGGTTTCATGTATAAAACCCACAGCTAATTTTGTAGGTAGTTTAGAGGATTTATACAAATTGAGCTTTTTTTTATGTTTATTTTTTAAAACTAAAGTCTATTATATGTGGTTTTAATTGAGTTTTTTCTTACAGAGCAATGTATATCAGAAGACATTAAAATCGAACTTATCATTTCATTTCAGAGCAACCAAATGAGATCAGCAGCTCAAGTTTTATCTCCATTCAATTTTGCAATGGCCTTGTGTCTTGCCCGTATCCACAGATTTGAGGATCAAGTAAGATATTATAGTTACAATATATAGATTGTAATTCTCATCTTTTTATAGTTAGTGTCAAGGATCTAGAAATGGTCATAATTTTCAAGTCCACGGCTCACGCGTCAGGGCGACTGGGGTGAAGAAGTTGCTTTCCCATCCTTCACTTCGCTTTTCTTGTCCACCAAAAGCGACATCTAGTTGCCTGGGTGTACACAACAGTCGATTTAGTCATCTGCAATTTTCCATTTTTTCCAGGTTGATTAAACAGCAATTTTACATTTATAAGTAAATAAATTCAAAGACATAAAAAATGTATTTCTTTTGAAACGTGGTGAAAGCATTGACTTTACAGATTAGTTGTATATTGTTTCAAAGAAACAACTTTTTAAGAAGTATTTCCTTGCACTTCCAGTACTTGTTACTCGAGAGCGTGCATCAAACATTCCAAATTACAAATATAGTTATTCAGTCACCTGCTTATATTGAATAGAATCTGCCAGTTGCCAGTTAATTAATTCTATAAAGGTAATAAAACAGACATTTAAAGAGAATCTGGTACTTCACCTGTTCTTCCTGCTTAACTTTGTTTTGTTCAAAGGTTTATCAGACAAGATAACTATTTCCAATCCAAGTTCTCCTGTGTTTTTTACATTAAACACTTTGTTAATCTCGATCATAAAGACAGTTTCTTTCATGGTGTGCCAATTTACAAGAATTGATTGATTGTTGCTTGCTAATTGTCCAATGGCAAATAGTTGATGCATTTTCAGAATTAAGAATTAATTCTTTCATGTCATGCTCTATGGCCATTTTAACAAAGACAGGCATTTTTATATTTGTGAACATGTTTATACTGAGCATTAGTGAGGTGTAAAATTTTGACAAATATATTGCCTACCCATGTTGAAACGAGCATAGAGTATGACATGAAAGAATTATTTGGATTCTGATACGAAAATTTAAAACTGTTTAAAAACACCCATTTTGATTTGATGATAGAAAAACATTCTAAAATTACCAAGTGTTTCATGATTTAAAGTGTACAAATACAGATAGACTTACTTTTAAAAGATTTATATGAGGAGCAGCTCCCGCTAAAATGTATGTTTTGATCTCCAGCGTCATTCAAAATACAAATGTGTCACATTCAATTTTGACGTCGAGCACATGTATCCCATGTTTTATAGGAATACTGCCTTGCAACAGGCCACCTAAGGACCTCCCCGAGAGTATGTGCAGAGAGCTTGGCATTCACCTTACATAAGGCTTCAAATGTTTTGTCCCAGTCAACAATTAGGGTGAATATTTAAAGAGAAAATGAAATACTCTTATTTTTATCAGAAAAGACGGTATTTTTTTCACCAGCATTAATGGCACAGTCCATTTTTACACAAAATTATATCTGCATTAAACAGCAATTGACTACTAAAACTGGAGTATGAAAGGCACATCTGTAAACCTCACAGGAAAAAAGGAAAAATCAAAGAAGTTGGAAAAATTTTATTTCAGCATTCAAGCTGAAACCAAATATACTTATTTCACAGTTCAAATTCAAGATATACTTCCAGATTTATGACCTCATAAAGACGATGATATTAAAGAGTTTTAAGGATGGGGAGAAACAATCTTCATCTCAGTGGGTCAGAGAAATAGTTCAGGACACTTGCATTGTAGAAGAATTTGCTTTGGAAACAATAAAGAATAGGTAATTATCATTTGTTTAATGTTTATGTTACTCAACTTGATCATTGCATTTTGGATCTACAGTTCTTATGTTTAGGATAAGTAACAATATAAAACTGCTACAAACCTGACTGATGCAGCACCTGACTCCATTACTAATCTTTCTAATTTAAGCATTTGTAATATTTATGCAGATTGTAATATGCATTAATTTACAGATTCATAAGACATTTGCCATGTTTGCATATATTTTTTATTTACATGAAGAGAATCTGATCGCTGGAAATCATTGCATGGATGTCTTTGGATCTTTTATTGTAGTAAATATGGATGGGATCATGTGATACAAGGCTTGGTTCATCTAGGATTTCTAATGTCCTGGCATTATCAATTGTAGTAAATATGGATGGGATCATGTTATACAAGTCTTGGTACATCTAGGATCTCTAATGTCTTGGTATCATTTAGTGTAGTAAATATGGATTGGATCATGTGATACCAGGCTTGGTTCATCTAGGATTTCTAATGTCTCTGGATCTTTTATTATAGTAAATATTGGTGGGATCATGTGATACAAGGCTTGGTACATCTAGGATTTCTAATGTCTTGGTATCATTTATTGTAGTAAATATGGATGGAATCATGTGATACAAGGCTTGGTTCATCTAGGATTTTTATACGACCGTATATTGGTATCACGTTGTCGTCCGAAAACATTTGGTTTCCAGACAATAACTTTAGTATAATTAAATAGAAATCTATGAAATTTAAACACAAAGTTTATAACCACAAAAGGAAGGTTGGGATTGATTTTGGGGGTTATGGTCCTAACAGTTTAGGAATTAGGGGCCAAAAAGGGGCCCAAATAAGCATTTTTCTAGTTTCCAGACAATAACTTGTGGAACAGTGTATGGATACCTCTGAAATTATGCCACAAGTTTCCATACCACAAAGGGATGGTAAGGATTTGCTTTGGGGGGTTATTGCTCAAACCGTTTAGGAATAAGGGGCAAAAAAAGGGGAAAAACAAGGGTGTCCTGGTTTAGTTCAAAACATAATTTAAAGCAGTGTAAGGGAGGTAATTCAAACACATCATTTGAATTACCTCCCTTATACTGCTTTTAAATTATGTATAAAGAAAGGGTTAATGGACAATTACTTGAGACAATTTAAAAGCAGTGTAAGGGAGGTAATCCAAACTCGACATTTTGATTACCTCCCTTACACTGCTTTTAAATTATGTTTAAAGAAATGCATATTTATAAAGGAAGACCAGTAAAAATATCTGCAAAAGTTGCATCTTTTTTTTTTTACAAAAAAATCCACATGAAAGATTTGACACCATATTTTGAATTCAGTTAATACGCAACAGCATAGTGTATTGCACAAAAGCAAAAAAAAAGGGGGTAAATTTTTTTATTTTTTTTTGTGGGGGGAGGGGGGTCAATTAGCAACAGCAAAAAAAAAGCAAAAAATTGAATATAAATTCAAATCATATAACAATATCTAAGTTCTTTGACTACAGTTATTCTGTGTCAGAAACCATTTATGTGTCAAATATTTAATTACAATCCCAATTCAGACCTGTATCAAGAGCCAATATTGTGTCCATTTTTGCCCCAACTGTTCAGGGTTGGACCTCTGCGGTCGTATCCAGCTGCGCTTGGCGAAGCAATTTATTAATGTCTTGGGATCATTTATTGCAGTAAATATGGATGGGATCATGTGATACAACGCTTGGTTCATCTAGGATTTCTAATGTCTTTGGATCTTTTATTGTAGTAAATATGGATGGGATCATGTGATACAAGGCTTGGTTCATCTAGGATTCCTACTGATGGATTCCTTTGGACCTAAGGCAATATTTGGTAGAATAGAGACGTCAGCAGTACCACAGACAGGTCCAACTCACTTAGCTTGCCAGCTTGGCAGTCAAATTCTTCTTAATACTTTCAAGGTACTGTTAAACAATATTTTATAGTGACAGTATACAAGTTTATTTTTACAGGAAGATTTAAACATAACTAAAACTGAAAATATGAGAAATTAAATTTTTTTTATGTTAAACCTGAAAAATCAATTGTGCATGCAGGTGCTGATCTGACATAACAAATCAAATTCCTATTGTGTGTAAATATAATTTTAAAACCAGGAAATAATATGATGTGATTTCCTTAGTTTTTACTGTTTATATCAGGAAAAAACAACCACATTTTCAAATAGTGAATAAATGAGTTTACATATAAATAAGAACATTTTTTTGTCCTTTAAATTCAGTCTTTCAAAATTATATTTATTTTTTTTATTAATGAATTATGTGATACAGTCTGGTCACAGTAAAGCAGAACTGCCATATGTCATGTCATTGAAACATCATATCCATGTCATAATTGACATATTTAACAAAAAATGACCATTTTACCTGCAATTTTTTCGGTGAAGCAGGTCTAGTATCACTCCACCCCGTCCGAAAGAGCTCATTTTAAAGGGAATGATTTAATATTTGGTCTGCAGCTTGATGATGTTGAGTTGTAGGGAGTAAGCAATTTTTACATCAGAAGTGTAGCCACTTCCTGTTTGCTGATAGTTTGAAATTTTACAACACTCATTGAACAATGAAAATTTTCGTCAATGTTTTCTTGTCTCTTATTGAAGTGAATGATTATGATATTTGGTCTGGAAATGATCAGTTATGCTCCTGTATATATGTTACCTCAAGCAATTGCATGCAGTGATGCATGTCCAGACCTTGTTTTGGTCTTGTTATAAATATTATGAGCAACATCTTAACCTAAAAGATATTTGACTAGCATCCTTAAAGAGACATAATCAAAGTCAATTCTAAGCACAATATTAGCCTTTGAATCAGACTAACACCATGGTATATTTTATAGAGACTACAGACAATTTCTAACATCAGTTAAAAAAGCACAAAGCTGCAACCTTAATACATGTAAGGGGCTTTTGTTTGGCCATACTTTCTTACTGAAAGCATATTATTCACTGTAACGAAACTTTTCATAATGGAAATTCAGCATACATTGCAGGGTAAAGAAACATTTCATGGAGGGCATTTCAATTAAGAAAAAGGTCACAACAATAATTATTTAACTCAATTTAATCAGAACAAAATACTAAAACACAAGGTAAAACACATTTCAAAGAGGACACATTTAGCATTTATAGTAAAAATACATTACATTACAACTTAAGACACATTTTATACTGACACTTTTAACATTCACCTAACATACTGTACAAGTACCTTAAATGAAAAAGCAAATTTTCTCCAGAACTCTCAACACTAGTGCAATGACTCAAAGAGAACAAAATAGGTTTTTGTATATTAACTTTTGATTTTTGACTTTTCTTCTTTTAGCAACATGAAATGGTGAGAGCTGAGATTTTAGATCAGATTTTCAACAGAGTTGTCACTAAGGCAACAACACCTGTCAGTCACTACATGGGTAAGATGACAAAAAGGTTTGTCTAAATAAAATAATATAAACATACATTTGATCAAACAGTAAGAGCTGATTTACAGTTCTTTGAAGGTCTTGTAAAACCATGGGACCATGTTACTATCTGAATAAATTTTATGATAATGCATTTTAAATGTGGAACTATAGATTTAGGAAAACAGTCCTATATCAAATGCATTGATACTATTAGAAAATATTGGGAAGAACTCTGCCTGCCTTCTCAAATACAAGATATTTTCTAAATGTTTTTAGTCTCTGTAATGTATGATATCGGTATGTTCTAGCAATTGTGATAAATATTCTCTCATGTGTTGACAATTTTCACCTTAAGTAAATAATATCCTGGTCTTATTTTCAAAAAACTCTCTTTATTTTTTTATGCCCAACTTACAGTTTGTCTGTTTGCCCATTGGTCTGTTCGTCTGTCCTTTGTCAGGTTAAAATAGTGGTCTATGGTAGTTTAGTACTCAAGCTCATTATGATGTAAACCTGATGTCAATTAGGGTTTTGACCAAGATTTCTTTGTTTACTGAACATGGAAATGTGGTAGTTTAAACAAGGTATGTTTGTTTTTCCTAAATTGTTTTGTTTTAGATTAGGCCTTTAGTTTTCTCGTTTAAATTGTTTCACATTTTTCTTGTCTGGACCTATTATAGCCAACTATACGGTCTTGATTTTTCTTATTGTTGAAAGTCGTATATTGCCTATAATTGCTAACATCCATTTGATTTGAACTGGTGGAAAATTGTCTCATTGGCCATCACATGGCATCTCCTTATTATATGCCCGTTTACGGGACTTATTATAGTATACTGTTGTCTGTCTGTCCGTTTCTCAGTATGTCCCAAAGTTGGTTTCCATTCTCAAACTTAATTTTGCCTCAAACAACTGCTATGAAACTGATACATAATGCTTATTCCCACAAAACACAGATCAAGTTCCAAATTTTGGTAGCCTCACTTTTACCTTTCTTGAGTTATGTCCCTTTATAATTTTATATGCAAGCTGGGGCATCATCTGTGTCCCATGTTTTTTATAATTATTTGTGCATACATAAAATTTGAACGTCTTCACAATTCTAAAGTTCATGAGTAAATAAACATAAACAACATCAATTTCTTATTAAAAATAGTTTGTATGTTTTTATTTTTTTTACTTTTAGAACTATTATCTAGTGCAGTATTGTCAGCACCACAGATTCTCTTGGAATCAACACCAAAAGTACGGGAGATGTTGGACTATTTGTCATTCTTGTCTCCAGTGTCTGCTGAAGCACTTCTGATGGCAATCCATCCACTACTTAAACTTAGTTTAACCCTGAAAGACTCACTCATACTCATCCTTAGAAAAGCCATGTTTTCAAGGTTTGTGAATTTACAGTGTTGACAGTATTTAAAGTGACATTTTTGATTGCTTGATAGTTGGTCAATAACTTGAAATATTATTTCATGCATAGTCAGGTAAACAAAATATCAAAACATATGAAATACGAATGGAATTATGAGAAGAGCCAGATGATTTTGACTTCCAATGTCAAACTGATTATGTATAATGGGAAGGGGTTATAAATGTAGTCTTGTATCAGGTCACCTATGAAAAGAGCTGTTGCACAGGTTGTTTAATGTGCCAAGATTGGTCAAATAAAACAAACAAGACAAGCAATTTTTAAGAATTTCATGTCATAAGGTGACAAAGACAACCTACCAGTAGCTTATAAAGGAAGAATTGCATTGATGCATTACTGGAAAGTTTATAGAAGTATTAGTTTTATGTTGATAGGGGGCTGAATTATTTAAAGTAGCCATCTGGTTCATACACAATAAATATTCTGTAAATGATACAAATTCTATATTATGTGGCAGTAAAACTGAAAAAAAAACTCTTCATAAGACATTCATTCTTAAAGTCTGTAAAAATGAGACTTGACACTAACATAAAATAGATATATTTAGCATGCTGAATTTGTCTGTAAATGAATTGAAATTAGAAAAAAAATGTTTGTCTCTTTTCAGACAGTTAGATGCCAGAAAAATAGGATTACAAGGCTTCCTATTGATACTTAAACATTTTAAAGTCCTGGGAGGTCTTCCATCCAGTCAATCGAGTCAACAGTTCTCAAGCAGTCAGGTAATAAATATTATGTCTGTGTATAATAAATGTCCTAGGAGGTCTTCCGTCTAGTCAATCTAGTCAAGTCAGGTAATAAATCTAACATTTTAAAGTCCTAGGAGGTCTTCCATCTAGTCAATAGAGTCAACAGTTCTCAAGCAGTCAGGTAATAAACATTATGTCTGTGGGAGGTCTTCCATCTAGTCAACAGTTCTCAAGCAGTCAGTTAATAAATCTTAACGCTTTGTCTGTTTGTAATGTCCTTACTAATAAGTATGAGTATAAATTTTGTTATGTTAGTCTGAAAGCTCTAAAAATATTAAAAGGTATGGGATATAGACACTAAGGCTTGTGGATGTACTTGCTAAACTTAAAATTGTGAGTTATAAAGTTCTTTGACCTTATGCTGCATTTTCATATTCTTCATTTGCTTTATCAAAACGAGGACACGTTATTTTGCTATGCATATGAACTCTGGTTTGAACTAAACCCACACAAACAGCCAGATTTGTAACTTGCTAGTTCACAAGGTTCTACAGAAAGACTTGTCACCCTACATCATAATATCATTCTGACTCTGAGCTGACTAATCTTTATAATGATACCAATTTTGATTTGACCTTGCTGAGGATCAAACCCACACTAAAGGCAAGCCCCCTACTTTATGACCAGTAGTTGTTCTTATGACCGGCACATTATGATATTATGTATTTCATTTGTATGCAGCAACATGTGAACACACCTGTTTTAAATGCATATGAGATAGGTATATGATACAGATAATGTATACTACTTCTTTGTAGGTTCAGGTGGATATACATGCCAGATATAATCCAGCCAGTAATGAAGCTCTGTGTTTAGAGATCATGGGAAACTTACGAAGAGTTCTATCACAACAAGTTGATGTCAGACTTATCTTATATCAGGTTTGTATAAAATGTCCATTTATGATTTATAAATGTTTGGGATTTAGCATTCTAGATGAAGTTAAATTCAGAAAAGTGATTCTGGTGCACAAAATTAAAAGAGTTATTTTCATTTTATAACCTACCACAATCTGGCTGGGGCATATAGATTTATACAGCTATTCAGAAGACACAGATTTTCTTTAAATGAAACTTACAGTTTTATAGATGAAAATGATCAACAGAAAACATTATTACAATTTAAATACTGTATGCAACATCAACAGATAAAGTAACTCGATAGGCTTGAGATCTTCTTTTTGCTGATCATTGTATACGTTTATTTTTTTACAGGGACTTTATGATGCCCTTTGCAGAAATACACAGCTTCAGGGACCAGTTTTAGATTTACTGAAAACTCAGGTAAAATATGTTTATAAGAAAAAAGTTAATAGTCTTTAAAATTTTCATTTACATGAACAAAGTTTTAGGAATAAAAGGACATGTGGGTATACATTAAATGTATCAATTTTTACAAAGAATGAAAATGAAATCTTAAAAATGCCTATCCTGTTAGAATATTAAGGGGTGTGGCAGTTTTCAAATGGAGGATATCTTATCATGCTGGCTGTGTAAATTGGATTCATAAAATTCATTACTGAAACCAGAAGTTACTTTTAGGTATTCCTTAATATAAAAATAAGGAGATGGGTATAATTGTCAATGAGACAACTATCCACCAGAGTTCAAATGTAGTGGATATAAGCAATTATGGCCAACGTACGGCCTTCAATAATGAGAAAAACAATACTGTATAGTCGGCTATAGAAGGCCTTGACATGAAAAATATGTAAATATATTCATATTCAAGTTTCAGTTTCACTCAATATGTCCCATAAATTGAATGTAGTAGTCAAGTTTTCTGCTGTTAGAGTTCAAAATTACAGATGATAAAATTCTTAAGATGGAATTATTAGTTTAATACTGTATGTGGTTGATTATAAATTTTTCTGGAGATAGTCCATCTAATTTAAACTTTCTATAGAAGAACCAAAAATGAATGTCAGCCTTATCATGCTTATTCATCAATTTGGAAGTAAAACTATCTTGACAAAGCATTTTATTTGAAAACCTAACCAACATTTGAGAGGTTAGGAAAGGACTTCCAAAATCCTGCCACAACCAACATACTTATTTTGAGTAATATTTTACTCACATTATCTAGGCAAACAACCATAAATAACATAAAATAACCATTCAAAAATAAAACTGTCGTTAGTACTCTCCCACATTCAATTTAATGGAACAGCCTTATATTTAAATACCATTGAATAATACCTTTTTAAGGTTGCAAGTTCCACACCAGGAAAGCTGCCTTCCAATACTGTAAAGAAGAACCTTTTTATCAACAGATGTTTTTTTTATAAAGTTGACAAATATGAACCATATAAAAAAAAAATTAGAAGATGTGGTATGATTGTAAATGAGACAACTATCCACCAAATGATGTAGATGTTATACATGTACATTGTTATTAATGAATAATGTATTTAAACTTTTACAGTTCAAGAAATACTATGAACCATCTGAAGATGTAAATCCACCGTTTAAACTGGATTTGTGTATATCAGCTCAAGGGGATCAAGTTTTCTTGGCAGAACCTCTGGTAAGTATATATACTTGGCATCCTGTAGACTATATTCTGAATTCTATCAATTCAAAGAAGCCTGATATTGAATCAGGTAATTGATTCCTTTTATATATAAACATATTGTAAAAACTGTTTTATATAAAAATAAGAAGATGTAAGATTGCCTCTGAGATAAATATCCATTGGAGATCAAATGATGTAGATATAAGCAACTATTGGTCGCTGTACGGCCTGCAACAATAAACAAAACACATTGCATGGAAAGCTATAAATTCCCCTGCATGACAAAATGTGAAACAAATCAAAAGAGAAAACCAAAGGCTTGATTGATGCTAAAAACAACAAAAAAATAAGGCAAACAGCAACCAACTACAACTGCTGAATTCAAGGCTAATGACTTGGGATAGATGCATAAAAAATGTGGCAATGTTAAACATGTTTGTGAGCTCAATCCTTGACTTGAATTTGTGCATGTCTGTTAACATATTGTAATATTAGATATTGAAAATCATTGTTTAATCTTTTGAATTGATTGTACCCCCGCAACTGAAGTTTGAGAAATAACGAAATATACTGAAATTTCATTAAAATAAATAATTTCTCTGTATTAAATGACTGTTGGTATGAACCATATTGGAACTTTTTTTTTGTTGATCAAACCTGTGTTTGATTTACACAGACACATACATGCCTAACTGGTTTGCTTTCATATTTTGTTTACATTCTCTGTCCTTAGTGTAGACTTGTTTTATTGCTTACAGATCTTAGACGTCATTTTTCTCATATTTCAGGCCCATCTGATATGTTGTATACAGCTATGTCTAATAAAGATAATGGATATACGTAGACAAACTAATGGTGATGAAGAAGAAGAGGATGTGACACGTAGCCACTCAGAGTTAGAAGATATAATGGAATCACTTGTCAAACGTATGATAACGTCAGAAATGGAAGACTTTGAACTGGTATAAATAGTAAACTAATTAAAAATGTCAATAGAGACAGAAAATTTGGAATAAAGACTTTGTAGTAAAAACAAATATTTGGTTTATGTTTCCTTGAATGTTTCTGCTACAATTATTTTCAGGAATTGACAGCTATCTCTAGATTTTTGTAAATTCATTTAAATATGGTATCCCTTAATAAGCAACAGATGGAGAGCTAAATTAAAATGAAAATTATGACTGGTTATCTACACAATGGGAAAAGCAGAAATAAACGTCTTAATGCATCAAATGATATTGAAAGGAAACTAATTAAACAATCTTTATGAAGACAGCACAGTAAAACACAGACCCAGACAGAGTATTGGTGTTGTTTATAATACAAATAAAGTAAGTTAATATACATTTAACTTTAAAGGACAATTTAAAATTGATTTTTCAGGACAAGTCAGCTGATTTCTCACCCACTAACAGTGTTGGAGTAAAAAATAAACTCTTTGCTATACTTGTGATGGGTACTTATGAGGTGTTGATTGAATATATATTCAGAACAGGACAAAATAGGTATGTTCTATGATTCATGGACAGAAATACTAATTTCTTTGTTTTCTTATGTAGAGTTTTGTTTAGTGTGGTATTCTGTTAAAAAAACACTTTGCTTTGCTGAAACATTTTCAACATTGTATAAGATAACATAGGCCTAGTTTGAACTCAGTTATGACCGAGACAGTGGGTCTGGCTTCCCCAAGAAGCTATAGATATTTTGCAAAAGAAATAGTCTGTCTTTTTTTATTTCAACAAGAAAAACCTATTCAAAACTATAAAAGTTTATTTTATCATGGTAAGGTTAATCTGATCTATTTAGAGCTTAGTAACTAGGCCAACCTTAAAATGCACTGTATATAAAGGTTCAGACAATCATTCACTACAGTCTCAATTGAATCCATGCATCAAATTCAAGATTATGTATTTTATTTTATTAACTTATTCATCTACTTTTTCTGTTACAAAGTATCCTTTTTAAGCCAGGGTCATTTTCAAAGTCCTTCAACTTTACTGAAACTAACAGTATCTCAGCTTCATTTGTATTCTGTGAGGTTTTAAGGACATTATGTTGTATTCCCAAACATGAAAACAAATAAAAAACGCTTAAAGATGGCCATTTCAAAAGATTTTAAGTAATATTTGAGTATAAAAAAATGATCAGGACATTTTTAATCAAAACCAAAATTCTATCAGAAATGATAGCTTTGTATTTTCTTTCAGATATAAACTAATATCATTTTAATTATGGATGTCCTTCTGTACAAAATTTTACATGAACATGAACAATTGGCAATACTGTGTCAAATTGTATTAAGCCACAATGTACCGGTAAACAATATCACTGAAGAATGTTTAATTTTACAGATATTTGTAAAATTGTTGATACCAATCTATGACATTTGCATTTTAAATAAATTGTAAAAAATATTTTATGCTACCTCTACAGATGAAAGTCATATTTTTTTTCAGTGATACAAGTTGTGGAGAAATCTTACAACTGTTTGGAAACTATACCAAACTTAATGATATTTTGAAAGAAAAGTCTAATCAGACCGGTGGAAAGAAGGGGAAGACAACTTCAGTTAAACCACCACAGAGCCTTATGTCAATTAATTGTGTTTCAACTCTTCTGGAGACTTTGATCATGTAAGTTCTTTATGTAGGTCAAATGGCTCAAATAACAAGTGTGAATTTTCTTATCCTTTGACATTTATTGTTTGCTTGTATGGAAACAAAATTTTGACATTGTGCATATATTTGTACTGTGGATTCATTAGGTTGGGGTCTTAGACTTGTCATTAACTTGTCACCAGGAAAACTTTTACTCAATTTTATTTTACTTTTACAAATTTAAGTGACAAAATTGATCAGAAATACTTTTGTCATTTCAAAAATTGTTTGGTTAATATTTTATCTGCTTAAATCTTATAATACAATTTATTTATTTATTTATTGTGTATTTCAGAAAATTCATAATGTTTCTGTATTCCGTACAAGATTCACCGACTACGATTTGCATTTAAACAACTTCCCGATTTAACACTTCCTGTTGCATTCAAACAAACACATCTTGGACACAATAAAGAATCAAACATTGTTGCTAAATTATTTATTCTGCAACAATGTTTTCATTATCCTGTAACCCAGGACTGGAGTTCATTTTGTCTCTCAAAAAAATCACTTTTGTAATTGACGCATTACAGAGTTTCAAGTTGGGATTCTTCCAAAAAGTCACTGCATGTTATGCATAAGAACTAACTTTTTTTCTCAAGTTTCAAGGGCCAAAAGGGGGCTGCATTCTATGCATGGGTGCGTATTTTACACACCTAAAGACGGTAGTTTATGTGTTTAAACAATGCAATTTCAATTTCAATATTTGCATTATACTATCAAAATTACAAAATGTGAGACATATCTCTGTGTCAACAGTTTATTTTAGTTCACTTACAGCTCTAGTTATTTTAATAATTAGTAGTAATATGAGGCAGGTGCTACCTGTGAAAGAGGACATAGTCCCTATAAATTATTATTTAAATACTGATTTTTGTAAAATATAAACTACAGTTAAATTACTCAGGCCATCAATTTTATTTACATTTTACAAATTATGACATTAAAATTTCAAAAAATCACTTTCATTTAAAAACAATCTGTATTTTATTAGATAAATTACCTCATTGGTTTCAACAAGGGCTGGTGGATAAATAACCCTTTACCAAATTGCATAGTAATGAATTCCCAGTACATTTTACATTTCTGTTGAAAAACTAAGGGAAATACAGAAACGTTTCCAATATTGGTTGTTTTTTTTGAAAAATGTTATTTTTCCTGATTTCTTATGTGAAGAAAACATTTCTTGATTTTGTGAGAGATATGAGTGGTTGTTTTATAGGGATTCAGCTCCTAGTAACAAAGAAAACTTGTCAGGACTGAGAGAAGATACAGGATTTTATACTCATGTGTTGAATATAGCACACCAGAAAGTTCATCAGATACAGGAAAAGGGAAGATGTGATGGACCTGAAGGGAAAGAAAAGAGTAAACTTATGAAATATGTATGTCAGCTTGGCAGGTATGGTACAACAGTATTTACAAAATTTTAATGCACAGTCTTCACGCTTAACCTCAAGCCCAGCAGCCCAGGCTTGTATAGTTGCTTTCAGGCCTGTAAAAATCATCTCTACAGGCCAACAGAATCTATATAAAATTTTCCAAAAATCGAGGACTGGGCCTATAGATTTAAAAGTTTATCGTGAAGACTGAATTATGCATATACTTTACAAGTCCCACTCCTAACATTATCTTCACCTTTTCATGCTCCTTATTGTAATGATGACAAAAGAAACTATTAGTTTGATGTTTGACAAGTTATGATAGTTTGATGTTTGACAAGTTATGATGAGTGACGAAAACATTTTCTTTTCTTTTTTGTTTAAAGTAAAATTTTAGTAACCGAAAATTTTCCACTGATATAAAAAATTGTGTTAATAGTAAAAATCAAGGTTCATATGACTTTGACCTCATTTTCATGGATCAGTGGTCAAAGTTCAGTAATTTGGATTATCCTTTCTCAGACGATATAAGCAAAAGGTGATCTGTATTTGTGGTTTACAAATATGTAAGGTGTACATGTCTCTCTGGCATTGGGTTCATCTGACCTTGTTCTTATTTTCATGGATCATTGATAGGGCCACGCCAAATTAATTCCTCGTTCGTCGAATCCCCAGCGTGTGGTGAACGGTCAACGAGAAAAAAGTATTTTTGTTAAAAACCCCTGTCCAGTACGGAGTCGCACGCGTCCGTCTCTAAATTTATATAACGAAAATTTTAATCAGTTGTGCGTTTTAAAGTAACACCATACAGACACAGAAATTGACACCAAAAACGATATAGATCTTACACTCACAACGTTTTTATAATGGACAAATATAATATGATGTATATTCTAAACGTAAGACATGAGGGGAATATTTGTAGTTACAGTGGTAACCAAGGCAACTCCCTTACTATCAAACACAGAGTGAAATGTGATTTGGATAATTCTTTTACCGATCTGTTTGAAGTGCTCCGTGCAAGACAACAATTTGGCACAAAACACCAATGCCTCCGAATTCAAAATTAAAATGATGACAATATAACATGCATGAAAATAAAAAGTGAATCCCAAAGATGACGGTACATGCATTGAAATGGCAACGCAATGATACTATTATATTTATATTTTTTACTTTTTTTTTTAATCTTTTAGAATAAAAGTTTTTTTCTCTTGAAACTTTTATTTATATTTGATAGTATCATTACAAAGTTAAAAAGCATGGAATTTGACAAGAAAATGTTTGTGGTAATTTAATATAACACATCAATCCAACTTGACAATTTACAAAATCTTCTAAAAATAATAATTTGTATGATTGTCAATGAGACAAACTTCCAGAGACCAAATTTGTTGAGGTTTGCAACCAGTAAAGTTTACAGATTGGCCTTCAACACAAAGCAATATCACCATATAGATAAAGATTTGATTGTAATTAAATTCTTCTTCCCCCCAAGGTTGACTTGGGAATAGAAATATTGTCACCATAGGTCTTCCTCCGACTGGCAGTAAAACCCTCGCCAGAGTGGGGCATTTGAATGACTGTGCGGGATGTATAAGTACACAGCCACGTCCGGTCAGAATGGGGACGTTAAATCTGATGCCTCATTTAGGGAGAGTGCCACACTCTTTGCACGTTAAGAACCCTTTGCAACAACTCTTTTCCTGTTGCAAGGCTGGATTTCTGTCCCTGTCTAATATACCCTCATTTTCCTGTGGCGGTCCAAATTTCACCGACCTTCGTCCCGGACGGACTCGGTTACAGGACCTACCCATTGTATTTATTGTTAATTTGTTCTCGTCCTGAACATGCATGAACTATTTGCCACTGGATGTTAAGCAACCAACAATCAATCAATCATATTAAACTCTTCAGCAAAGCATGATTATTAAGTGGAATGTATTAAAATGTTCCTTTTGTTTAATTAGTATATAGCATCTGGTGTGATGCATTTGAATACGTAGTAGTATAAATTGGTTAGTTTTTGAAGGACAATCCTTTATAGATTTTCATCTTGTTATATACACAAATATGTATAGTTGTACATAAAAGCTTGATACATTCATACATTTATTTGAAACAACATACCATTCTATATGTGACTGTCTCATGTCAGGAGCCTGTAGTTTACTGGTTGTTGTTGGTTCATGTCTCTCAAATTTGTTTTTCGTAAATTGTTTTGTTATGAATCAGACCGTTAGTTTTCTCAAATGAATTGTTTCATATTTTTCATGTCAGGGCCTTTTATAGCCGACTATACAGTATGAGTTTTCTCATTGTTGAAGGCTGTACGGTTGCCTATAATTGTATACATCCATTTCATTTAAACTTTAGTGGATAGTTGTTTCATTGGCAATCATACCACTTCTCCTTATTTTTATAATGCATCAATTATAACTGACATCAAACATGGATGTCTACCTGTTCAATGCTGTTGTACTATTTCATGTTCAGCTGGATCTTTATTTGAGCAGACTACACGAGAAGTTGTAGCCTTTGCTACTAGTTAACCATTTTTTGTACTTGAAACAGGGTGTCTGAGAACATATTTAGAAGCAAAGTAGGGTAATATAAGAAGTAGGATATGAGATCTATAAAAATATTGAAACACCAAAACACCAAAACGGTGTAAATTTCTGATCACTCCCTTGCATAAAATGCTTTTCATAGATTTTATTTTTTTAATATTACAAAAATAATATCGCTCGCTAGTAAAAAATACTTTCGCCTGCCAAAAATCAAACTTCGAAAAGAAAAAAAACAAATAAAAAATTTCGCTCTCTCTCTACCCTTTTTTTAAAGAGTCTGAAGAACTAGAAATTAATTTGGTGTGGCCTTATGTTAAGAATATGTGATACCTGTAGTAAGACCTTGATCTTAAGACTTTCTACATAATCAATCATTATCAGCAAGCATGAAAGTTTTCAGGTATTTGCCAGATATCCAGATTTTAACATTATTTACTCCTATATCATATATATATTACTATACAAAATATTGGCTTTTTCTTGATTTCTGGATTTTAGCATCTTCTATATTTTCACCCATGAATCAGTAAATCAGGAGAGACATTTTCAGCATGTGCACTCTTGTTTATTATTGTTACTAATATAAGCTTGACTACAAGTGTATGAAACAGAGATAAAATGGATTATCAATTGCTATTCCTAGATTATTTCTGAAATACTACACAGAGAATCAGAAGACAGGAGAGGAGGGAAGGAGAGACAGAGGGAAAGTATTGACAGGCTTATGTTTAGAGGGATTAACCAGTGTAATCACAATCATTTTACAACAGTTTTCTAACCAGCTGATGCAGTGTCTCTGTGACATAGGTATACTGCTAAACTGTTAAAGTTATTTGCCATATCACAATTTCTTAAAAAAAATTGACTCATATGACAACTAAAATTTGAGAAAATGATACTGTAAACCAACTTATTTTTTGTGATACTTTATTTAGCATAAAGCAATTGAGAGATGACTTTCTGACAATTTATATTCACTATTCAATAACATTATTAATGTATTTAATTTAGAAAAGATATATTTGTGACTATTTATACTCACCATTTTTTTCTACCCTGGAAAATTAGTTGGAAAACAGAAGTTGGAATTCAAGTATACATTAAACAACATTTCACTGATGTTTGAAATGAAGCAACTGCTTACATGTGGTATTTGTTTGACTTTGGGATGAAGAACAGCAATAAAAGCACTGTTCCTCTGTTTAAATTCTTAAAGTGTATGTGAAATTTTACTCTTTCCTATTATCAGGAGTCTATTTTCTAGGGTTCTGCATAGAAGAAATGTTATGGAAATTCTGAAATTTATACACACCCCATTACCAGCTATCTGTACAACAGATGCAATAGGTAACACAGATGAAAATCTGCTGTACACAATAGCGAAAACATTTGTTTTTAATAGCAATCAGGAACACAGATCCTGTTGTTTCTGCAGTAACGATAGCCAGTAGTAGGGTGTGTTATATATACTGTATGTAGAAATACTCTTATTGTCCAGAACATAAACAGTATAAATTGTAGACTATCTACATACATACATTTATACTACATTTTTAGGCAGTTTGTGCAGTCAAATTGCATTGACCTATATATTCATTTTTGATATACCGCCACTGATGGTATATCACCTTATGATTTTGTATTTATGACATCAATAAAGAATACAGGTTCACAGAATTTTTACACCATCCGCTTCATATTCAAAATGATTTTTTTTACCAATACTATTACCTGTAGAACTATTGTATGAGTTGCAGTATAAAGATAACCATGCAGTGTCCCGAAATATAGATTTTATTTGTACTCGGCTCAAAACAGGAAAGAAGTGCATGGCACAGTCTCACATTCTATCTGTTTCTAAGCCTTGTACAAATAATTTTATATTTTAAGACAATGTTTAGTTAATCTATATACATAAACACATATATCATACATCATGCACATAAGATATAAACATTACATATTTATTTTCTTTTATTTATTTCTCACAGCGGATACTGATAATCAAACAGATAAACAGGAAGTAATTTATGGCATCGTAAAGAAATGTCAGGTTTGTAGCATACCCATATTTACATTTTTATTATGCCTTACCTACAATAGTAGGGAGCATTATGTTTTCATTTCTGTGTGTTCTTTGGTCAGTGACCACATCAACTTGAAAATTAGTGCACATGCTCATTATAATGTAGAATGTTTGAAATATATGCAAAATAAAGGTTTTGATTCAGATTTCTTGGATGTGATAGTGTAATTCTTATGGACACTATATGAATAACACATAGCTGAGAGGGTGATAAAGCAGATTTTTACCCCGAGAAAACATTGTCAAATGAGGCAAAGCCAAGGTTGACAAAATATGACGTCTCGTACATAACAATCATCCATATTTAATAAAGCACACCATTGATCAAGCTTCTTCTTGAAAGTTAATAGAGTATTAGCCATGGGATAGAGTAAATTGTCTACCTCGAATTAACCAATCAAAATCTGGCATTTTGACATGAAGTATAATAAATATTGTTGTTTTATAATGAATTATAGTTATGTTGATGGAGTATTTTTTTGGGGAAGGTTACCCACTAATTTACATGTTCAACAAATTATCAATTTTTTAAAGGCTTGTTTGCAGACTTTGGCAAGTCAATAAAATCAAATATCAATGAATACAGAATTATCCTTAGTCCACGAAAATTGGTAGTCGTGGACAAGAAATAAATGAATTCACAGTACTCAATTTATGATAGTTTACTAAACCATAATCTTCATATTATCTTTGGTTTATGAAATGAAGTCTAGAATCCTTGATAGGGTTGAAAAATAAAGTAATGTAGACAATATTGATGTATTATATTGTGTCCTTGGTAAATTTTGGAAGTGAGAGGTGGGAAAGGGGTGTATATTTGAAGTTTATAAATGGTGATTAGACAAAAAATTGTTAAAACTCTTGAATTGTATTGCAGCGATTAACCATTAATATCTTGTCATCTACTGAAGAAGGAAAACACTGGAAAGAAGTTGCCTCCCTTTTAAATATTATCCATCAGTTATGTAAACAGATGACACACACCAGTGATCAGTATGACAAAGTTACTAACTGGATCCTCAAGTTATGTCAAGAACAAGAAATAGGTTAGTTCTTATATACAGTGAAATAAATTTAAAAAAAACATTGAATTAAAACAGTTTGTAGATTTCATATATATTTTGACTATAAAGACATTATTTAAATTTGAAAGATGTGGTAGTAAGCACTTGATAAGTCTTTGATTTAAGGTTATTATATTTTAACAAATTTGTGAAATGAGTATTTATTAGAAGCAGAGAGAGTATCTTCCTATTGTTTTCTTTGGTTTGCCCTGCTTTTGATTTGTTTAATCAGGCTAAAAAAAAATGGTTCAACATTATGTAAATTTATGTGTGTTGTCTTTTATTTTAGATGATTTACCAACATGTAAATTAATGTTATCAACATTGATTGATATGACACAACAGATGAAGAGTTGTTCCCCTTTGTTGAGAGAACTTTCCCAAGATATTCACAGTCAACTAGGAGACATTGATCAAGTGAGTGTGAAAAACCTATCAATATTTTCATTTTTTATAGTCTCGTAAAAAAGAGTGTTTTCAATTTTTTTATATATTTTCTATTTCATTAAAAAGAGCTTTGACATTTGCATCTCATTTAGATCAATTGATTTATTGATTGATTGATTGTAGGTGTTTAACTCGACTTTCAGCACACTTGGCTATATCATGGCAGCCATTTTTAGCTCACCTGCCCCAAAGGGCCAAGTGAGTTTTCTCATCACTTGGCGTCCGTCGTCGTCATCTGTTAACTTTTACAAAATCTTCTCCTCTGAAACTACTGGGCCAAATGTGTCTGTTGACCCCGCCTGCCAACCAAGATGGCCGACATGGCTAAAATAGAACATAAGGGTAAAATGCAAGTTTTGTCTATTATTTTGAAAACTTATAAATAAAGGAAATCTGACAAGGGCAGAAATGTTCAGAAATGTTGAGCTATACCAATTGTTCATACACGTTAAACTGTCAGACGACTTCTTATAGGAGTTATTGCCCTTAAATGATAAATTTTACCATTTTTTTTTTCATTTTTGCCTATTATGTTGAAAACTATAATAGATAGAGAGAAACTTTGAATTGCAAAAATGATCAGCAAGACAAGTTCTACAAATAAGTCTTATGGTTAAAATTGTCAGTTGAGTCCTTATTAGAGCTATTGCCCTTTGATGATGATTTTACTAATTTTTTACGTTTTTGCCTTAACTTTACTTAAATAAGCAAAAATGATCAGCAAGACAAGATCTACTAACAAGTCAAATTTTTCTGATTAAGTTAGTAGACTGTCACTCTTTATAGGAGTGATTGCCCTTAAATTAGGATTTTTTTTTTACCCTCTTGTGTTTTGAGCAAAAACTAAAGAAGAGAGAAACTAAACAGACTAAATGATCAGCAATACAAGATCAACAAAACAGAGATTTGTGACATGAATTCTATTCTTGTCTACAATGTTGGAGAGTGTCCTTTGTTAAATATGCATATAGACCAAGGTGATCGACACAGGCTCTTTAAAGCCTCTAGTTTATTGGTGTAGGAAACCAGAGTACCCTGAGGGAGCACCTACCTTTTGCAAGAAAACTGGAAATACTAGTCACTAAGCACCTTTCTAAAACTGGGTTTGAAACACACAACCTTAGTGTTGAAAGTCTAGTGATCACTGTAGATGAACTACTTATGGCACCAACCTCATTTTAGAGGTTAAAGGGGACTATAGGACAACCATCAACATCATGCTAAGTTCTCTGATATATTATGGCATGAACTGACTGTAACCAAGTCTTATGTAACTTGGTATATAGTTAAAGAGTTACATCTAGATGATTTACTTTATAGCTTTAATTGAAATTATTTAATGCTGGTGTTAGTTCTGTATATATTGAATAGGGAGTTATAGTCATGTATTTGAAATACTTTTTTTATGGAATTTTTTAGTAAATGTAAACCACAATAAGAAAGTATTCAGCTGAATGAAAAAAATCTGAATGATAGCTTGGTAGAAAATAATAAAACATTGTTTCCATGTCAGCTTTTTAACAAAAGTATGGTAATTGGTATCCTTAATATTGCATGAACCAATGGTGCTTAATGTTATGACTTTTGCTTTGCCATAGGAAGTTGAGGTTGAAGACAGAACACATTTTGCTCTTTTAACTCCAAGGTCAGCAGCTCCCATGGTAGTCCTCCTTGTTCTGAATCACATGGATAGAGACTTAGATGACACAGAATGGGTTGTCAATAGATTAAAGGCTGATATCCTTGCAGAGAGTGCCCTTGGTGAGTTCCTAGTACAAATAACAGAAAAGGAGTTACTTTGTTTAAGAAATTGTCAGTTTTAAATAATGAGAAATTTCAACAAAATTTATTATCAACCATAGCAATGGAATTTATACTTTTGCCATCAAAACATATTTGGTTTAATTCAAGGATTCAATTATTTGAGTTAACCACTCATTGAGTGTCCTAAAATATGACAGAACACCAAACGTTTAATTTTTTATTTCTCAAATTTTCAATCTGATGTACTTTTAGAAGATGATAATGGAGTTGATTTAACCCAGAGAGAGGGACGTGAAAAATCAGTATGTACAAGACTTTGTGTAATAGTAACAGCCTTTCATGAACTGGTACAGTCTGCCATACCTGTTGGCTCCTGTGCTGAGGTTATGATTAAAGTGGTTACCAGATTATTCACGACTATTACACTGCTTGTCAAGTTTGTAAGTCTTTTTAAAAAATATATTTTTAGTTTAATTGATTGATTTCAATGTGGAAAATAATGCTTAAGGATAAAGTAATCTTATTCATGGTGCTATGCATTATACAATGTCTGTTGTATGTCTATACTAACTTTATTTATTCTTTATGGGGAGGGGAATATTGTAATTTAGATATTTGCGAAATGTACAATGTAACAAGTTCCAAAAAAAATTGGAATATTAACATATTGTTTCATGTAAGCTTGTGAAGTAGTTTTTGTCTATGTGTTGTTTTTATTTTTTTTATTTTCTTTATGTAACTTAAAAACCAAGATATTAACAGAATATAATTTGTATATTCATTTCATCTCTTATTTTGAATATAATTCCACACAGAACTTTGATAATACAAAAAATGTAAAATTAAAACATTTATTTTTAGTATTTAAGTCTGTACAGCAGCAAAGCAGGACACATTTCAGGAAGATTTGAAAAGTTGATAAAACTTATAGGTACTACCCTCACACCTTATGTGTATTCCATGATTACATACATTCAGGTAAGTCAAAGAATTACTATGAAGTTTTTACATTTTTTACACTGCATTTGTTCATTCACTAAGGTCTATAAATGTGGGTATAGTGAATATTATTAGAATTTACATTTTTTATTCTATGTCAGATGTATGAATTTTGAGCTGACCTAAAATCTAAGATGGTCTCCACCATAGATCATAATTATACCCCATGCAATGGAGTTGATGAGTGGAAGCCTTCATAAATATTTGAAAAGTAGGACACTTTTCTGGAGACAAGATTGACCCACATATATTAATTAGGCCTGAACTATATCTTAGCTTAGTAATGGTCCTTTTATAAACTCTTCTTTCGTATGAAAACAGAAGTTAATATTTAAGCAAGAAATGGTATTCTCAGTGAGATACTAAAGAACTCATGGATTTTTCTAGCATTCCACAGGGTCCGGTATTCTAACCCATTCCCAATGGCAAATACCCTACATTTTTCCCAATTTTGGGAGCAAAATTCCCAAACGATCTCAAAATTTATTTTCATCTTTATTATTCACGACAGCCAACTGCTAGCTTTATGCCGAAAATCGCCAACAAATAATGTGTAAATCCGAGTAAAATCCTACCTGACTGACAAAAACAACATTGAAAAACAACGGATGTCATAAACCGGAAATGAAGACAATTACAATACGGGGTCAGATTCCGGGGGCGGATAAGGGTAATTCCGGGTTTGCCGATCAAATACAATAAAAAAATAACAATTCCAGGCCGGTGACAAAATACATGTTGATGATGAAATATAAACACTAGAATTGAAAACCAAAAGATATATGGAAAAAAAAAGAAAAATCAGGAAATATTTTATACACAAACTCAAAATTACTTTTAGTTCACAAATTTTCATGTCAAAATCCAATTAAATCATATAAATGTGACAGTAATTTTCCTAATCATTAATAAATGTTGATATTACATGTAGATGTTTTTATAGTGTAAACATATAACTACAATTCCAACAGGTAATTTCTTCTCAATTATGAAAGGCCAGTAAAATTCTGGAAGTTTCTTACTTTATTTTCACAATAAAAGATAACTTTTAATGAACTTAACACACTAAAACTCAAATCTGGTATATTTGCTGTTTTCCCAATTTCATTGAAAAGCGCGTGAAAAAATTCCCCAAACTGGCCAGGGTCCTTTTTCCCAAAATACCCAGAAAAACCCCTGGAACTGATATATTTGGATACCAGTTGTGTTTAGAAAATCACATACAACATATTTTACAAAATTAATTTAGTGTCAGTTAGGAAAGTGCTGCTTTCAAGCAATATCTTTGATTATGTTTTATTAAAATAATGTGTTCTTTACTGTACATGCAGTCAGCCCTGTTATTGACTAACACTTACATACTAATTAGCCAAACCAGCTTAAAATGGACTATACAATAAATCAAATCTGAACTGGAATATATATTTTAAAGCAAGCCAGATCTAAAGGGAGGAAGAATATGTTAAGAAAATGAATGAAAATAGTCATATTTATGTTTTCTTTAAATTTTATATTTTCATTCATTTTTGTCGAGCCTGCGACTTTTGTCGCAGAAAGCTTGACATAGGGATAGTGATCCGGCGGCGGCGGCGTTAGCTAACTTCTTAAAAGCTTTATATTTTAGAAGGTGGAAGGTCTGGATGCTTCATACTTTGTATATGGATGCCTCATGTTACGAAGTTTCCATCAGTCACATGTCCAATGTCCTTGACCTCATTTTCATGGTTCAGTGACTACTTGAAAAAAAAGTTAAGATTTTTTGTAATGTTAAATTCTCTCTTATCATAAGTAATAGGATAACTATATTTGGTATGTGCGTACCTTGCAAGGTCCTCATGCCCGTCAGACAGTTTTCACTTGACCTCAACCTCATTTCATGGATCAGTGAACAAGGTTAAGTTTTGGTGGTCAAGTCCATATCTCAGATACTATAAGCAATAGGTCTAGTATATTCGGTGTATGGAAGGACTGTAAGGTGTCATCTGACCTTGACCTCATTTTCATGGTTCAGTGGTTATAGTTAAGTTTTTGTGTTTTGGTCTGTTTTTCTTATACTGTATGCAATAGGTCTTCTATATTTGGTGTATGGAATGATTGTAAGGTGTACATGTCTAGCGGGCAGGTGTCATCTGACCTTGACCTCATTTTCATGATTCAGTGGTTATAGTTAAGTTTTTGTGTTTTGGTCTGTTTTTCTTATACTGTATGCAATAGGTCTTCTACATTTGGTGTATGGAATGATTGTAAGGTGTACATGTCTAGCGGGCAGGTGTCATCTGACCTTGACCTCATTTTCATGGTTCAGTGGTCAAAGTTAAGTTTTTGAGTTTTGGTCTTTTTTTCTAATACTTTATGCAATATTTCAACTATATTTGGTGTATGGAAATATTTTATGATCTATTTGTCAGTCACGCAGGTTTTATTTGACCTTGACCTCATTTTCAAGGTTCATTGCTCAGTGTTAAGTTTTTGTGTTTTGGTCTGTTTTTCTTAAACTATAAGCAATAGGTCAACTGTATTTGTTGTATGGAAGAATTGTTAGCTGTACATGTCTGCCTAGCATGGTTCATCTGACATTGACCTCATTTTCATGGCTCATTGGTCAATGTTTAGTTTACTTGGTTAATGTTAATTTTATGTGACTGTTGTAATAAAGCTTTATATTTAGGACTATCAACATAATATCAATGATTAGTAAAGAAGGCGAGACATTTCAGCGTGTGCACTCTTGTTAAAACATTAATATGACTATCACAAGAGGGGAGTGCTGTAGATTGAAAATTATAAACTAACAGAATAGTATATACAGTCGACTAATTTGAAAAATAATTGAATCAAAGAACATGTCCTGCTATAGTAAAAGTCTTATGTTAAGCTATTGTCTCAATTGCCACTGCTTTTTCCAGACAAGGAAAGGGTAATGTTAAAAAATGTGGAAAAAAACCCAGTAAAATCAGTAAAATGGCCTTAACAGTAACTACATTTAACATGATCTGTCTTTATAGACCACAGAAAATCAGTAACTACATTTAACATGATCTGTGTTTATAGACCACAGAAAATCAGTAACTACATTTAACATGATCTGTCTTTATAGACCACAGAAAATCAGTAACTACATTTAACATGATCTGTCTTTATAGACCACAGAAAATCAGTAACTACATTTAACATGATCTGTCTTTATAGACCACAGAAAATCAGTAACTACATTTAACATGATCTGTCTTTATAGACCACAGAAAATGAACAATTACAACAAACCATGGATAAGGGAAAAAAGGATAAGAAAAAGAAGACAGCTGCTGCCAAAGCTGGAAGTGTAAGTTACAATCAAAATTATAAACATATTAACCAATGTGTCTTGCAACCAATCATTTTAGCAATTTATATAAAGATATTTGAACAATGTCAGGTGCTGAGGTTTATATTGCTCTGATTAAATAACTTGTTTCAGGTGACTATCAATGCTTTATTGCTTGAGTGTGATACTATCTGAAATGATTTTCTTATAGATTATATTATGGATGTGATGCTATCATTTCTTAAAACAAGATGGTGTTTCAAACTTCCCTTTTTACCAGGATTCTTTAAGAAATTTATGGGGAGAACACTAAGTCTATCATAGATTTAATTGAGCAGTTTGGTTTTGAAATTTTTTTTTTAAGAGCTCTTTATAAAAGCAAAATGGAATGGACCCCCTACAAGAAAATTTATTAACACATGCTTGTTTTCATTTGTGGTGGGTACAAAGTTCTTAAATATTATAACAGCCATATGGTTTTCAAACTAGAAGGGCTTCGTGGCCCTAGTGTGATGGGGATATTACCTAGCTTTACCCAGACATAATGTAAAACACTTAAGTTTGAATTGAGGTTTTCCATGTTTTAAAAAAAATAGTTAATGTCTTAATAATAGTTTCAGTGAGTTAAATTGTTTTTAGTTTTTTCAATTCTTCATGAAAACTTTGATAGTGATAAAATCAAAATTTAAAAATTATTGTGATATATAAAAATAAGGAGATGTGGTATGATTGCCAATAAAACAACTAGCCACTAGAGTTCAAATGACGAAGATAAAAGCAATTATAGGTCACTGTACAGCCTTCAACAATGAGAAAAATCTCATACCCTATAGTCAGCTAAATAAAAGGCCTGACATGAAAAATGTGAAACAATTCAAACAAGAAAATTTTGAACCTAATTTATACAATACAATTCATGAAAAAAACAAATATGACAGATATGAACCAATGTCAACCACTGAATTATAGGCTCCTGACTTGGGACAAGCACATAAAGAATATGGTGGGGTTAAACATATTTTTGAGCGCTCAACCCTCACACTAACCAGGGACAATGGTGTTACAGCACAACAAAATGCCTTGATAGATATCGAAGATACAAACTAAAAATCAGTTGCAAATGGCTAACTCAATAAATTGGTATGAAGCACAAATAATCCAACTAACATAAAAACAATAGACACAAAGCACTGATATATCAATACTAGCAGTTACTGAAAGCTAATTTAAAGCCAGTTACAACTAATAAATTATTCATTTTTTCCCAGACCAAATTATCAATTAGTACACATCCAATGTATTTAGTGTAAGGATGTCATAAACAGTCTGAGAAAAAACATGACCTTGTGCAATGTCAAAATATAAGTAAACAGTTTCAACATAATTTAGGATCATGAGTACTTATATCTTTACATATAAAGAAATTTATATTTAGTTATTTTTTAATTTATCAAAAACAAAATCAATGTAAGTACCGATAAAGACAATACACCGTTTTTAAGTACAAGATATCCGGTAAAGATATTTGAATCATCATTGATTTATTGCATTTACAGGCAAAAGTAATGAAACAATCTAGAACGGTTCCTAACTTGATATTTGCTATAGAAACATTCGAGAAGTTCCTTATACAGCTCACTAAGAAGTCAAAGGTTAGTATATTTATCTTAGAAACTATTCAATGTGTAGGCAAAATTTCTTGACTATAAACTTTGTGTTTATGATAGTTTAGAGTATTTTGGAAAAGCCTGTTTGTCCAAACATTGTAAATTAATTGTTTGAGGGATTTTGATAATGAATGAGTGCAGTTAAGGTTAGAATTAAGACAATAGTTAAACACTTTTACATTTAAGGAAAAAAATGCAACACATTCTTATTGACTCAGTATTTTATATGATGCATTCATTGTAGGACATCAAGCATTTCAGAGTCAAAGGTTATCAAATACTATTGCAGATAAAACGACACAAAATCCCAAAAGATATTTAACAGTCTTAAACAATAGGCTGTGTTAAACCATATGTTTAGCTATAAATTTGTGCAAGTCTAGATTGATTGATTGATAGTTGCTTGCTCAATGACCAATGTAAAGGTCTAGACAAGTGGAGAACAGAGACTATTAAACAAATTGTCATCCAAACATAAAAAACATTACAAAAACATTAAGATGAGATTCCTGGTTTGGGACAGACACATATGTGTAAGAGTTTAACAGTATGATAACTGTAACCACTGGATAGAAACTATTCTTACTTAACTTTAAGGTTTGTAATTCATTTTAAGAGGAATCACTGACACTAAGTAGATGATGTTTAGTATGCAGTTGTATTAGCATTAACAAAATCTCATTTCTATTGAGATTATTTGGCCCTAACCCCCTCATTCATGGTCCAGCGACGTTGAAACTTTTCCATAGTTTACATGTTAACATGTAGCCATTGTATTTAATGATCAAAATTACACACAGGTGAGACATATCTTTGTGTCAGTATTTTTTTTATGCCCCACTGTCACTGTAGGGGCATTAAGTGTTACCATCCTCTGTCCGTATGTACATCCCAAAATTGGTTTCCGTTCTCTGACTTTAGTTTGCCTCTACCAAATGTTATGAAACTTATACACAATGCTTATTACCACAAAACGCAGACCAAGTTAGAATTTGGGTATCATCACTGTTACCATTTTCGAGTTATGCCCCTTTATAAAATTATATGCAAGTGGAGGCATCATCTGTATCCCATGAACACATTCTCCATTTATTTGACTTTCACTTAACTTAAATGATTTTTTTATAATTGAAAGGTTTAAGTTTTGCTTATTTGAACTTGTCATAAGTGATTCTGTAACATTCTACTTTCAATAATTGGAATGGTTACTACAAGCTATAAAAGAGAGAAATAAATCACTCAATCTATTCTGTATATGACTTAATAAACTTGCAGTGTTTAGATTCATTTAAAAAAAACATCTATGATTTTTCTAAAAAAAAAAATTCTTAGGTAAATTTGATGGAGCACATGAAACACAGTACATCAAGAGATTTCCGTATCAATGTGGCAGCCTTGCAGGAAGCCTCTGGAAGTGAAGAAGAAGAAGATGAGGAGGAAGAGGAAGCAGATGAAACACAAAAAGAGGTAACAACTCTAATTTTCTTATTTCCAATGTAAAACTTGAAAATTTCTAAAAAAAGAAGTCTGTGCCAGCAGTAATATTAGATATTTTCAGAGACCCACAAAATCTTTCATTATACTTTTTTCTTCAAACTACTGTGGTACTTTACATCTGTATTCATTATGCTGCATTTCTGAAGAAGTGTTAAATGTAAAAAAAAAAAAAGAGCTTTTAATAGATATATTTTGATGAAAACATACATGTTGATTGAACATTTGTATTCTGACCTCATAATCATTTGCACTGGTGATTTATTCCAGCAACCAATGGAAATTATAAGTGATGAAGAAACTGATGAAAACCAAGAACCTCCAAACAAAAAAGTTTGTAAAGAGACCGAGGAACCATCAAAGAAAGGAAAACTATCTACAAAAGGAAAGAAAAATGTGAAAGTTACCTAATTATTTTATTAAAATAAACTTTCAATTCTCATTAGAAAAGAGTTAGGTCAATGTAAACTGAATATATACATGTATGAAAACTGTCACAGGAATCATCATTCAATCATTCATCATAGGAATGAAAAGTTTGTGTAAGCTACCAAATTCAGTTGTTCATGCTAGAATTCATTAAAACAAATCACAGCAAAAAACCTATAACCATGTGTCATTTTGAATATAAAATGCTAAGTTATGAGTTTTAGCCTATAGAACACTTGTTGATAATGTGCAATCTCATATCTTTGTTTTATTGTTTGTTGTGAACTCATAAGATTTAAAATATTCATGAAATTATATATACTCATTGTTTTACATAAAACTGTATGTAATAATACTATCATAAACTCATGTGTTGTTATGTTTCTGTGCCTTGGACTCCATCATCAGGATGAAACCAGTCTATAAAATCATACTTTAATCATTCAAAAATCAAGTGATGATAATATGTGTTAAGGTTCATATCAAAGAATTTTCTGATAATGTAAATTTTCTTACAGTTTCCTTATCTTATGATAGTTTTTTTGTTGATTTAATCTGTATCATTGGTACATAAAAATCAATTGTCAAGTTTTACTGTCATCTGAACAGAAACTTAAAATATTTATTTAAGGGGTACAGAACACCTAAGGGAGTTAACTCTTTTACAAATCAGCTGAAAGGTTTAATCCTTATTCTACTAGTGAAGAGAAACCAAGCTTATCAATGATGAAAATTAGTGTTAGTCAAACTGCTATATATCCAATAAAATTATTCTTTTAAATTGTGTGGTTCAAATTTCTTGAAATTTTATATTTTTGTCAACAGGTCAAAGTAAATATTTTGTGAAAATTTTATGAAAATTAAACAAGCCAAATCTATTTTAGTCATAATGTTGGGTACAAACTTAATTGTGATACCATTTGTAATTTAAAAAAAAAATTAATTTCCAAACTAAAATTGCATGAAGGTTAACAGGAATATAAAAAATCTGATATAAAGGCATTGAAAACAAAATCAGCTCAGAAAAAAAAATTACATCTTGAAACACTCTGTTTATGGTAGCTTTAACACTCTGTTTATGGTAGCTTTAAAAAAAAAAAAAACATATTTTTTTACAAGGTAGTCAATTGACTCTGACTACATATAAACAGAAAACCATTGTCTCATTTGTGCAGTATTAATTCAAATCAATTAAGATACACTATCTATAGATAGCTTTTGGTCTTTTTATGCCCCCTCCATAGCTGAGAGGGCATTATTAGTTGTTACCCTTGCCTGTACGTCACCAAAATTGGTTTCCATTCTCTTACTTTAGTTTGCCTCAACCAAATATTATAAAACTTATACACAATGCTTATTACCACAAAACACAGATCAAATTGGGTGGCCTCACTTTAACCGTTCTTGAGTTATGCCCTTTATAAATGGAAAAATTGTAAAATCTGTGGTTTCTGTTCTCTCACTTTAGTTTTCCTCAACCAAATGTTATGAAACTTATACACAATGCTTATAATCACAAAACGGTCTTAACTATGTGAATCCTGCATCTTTATGTGGTTGACTCGTGTATATTTACAAATGGTCCATAGACACATTCTCAGTGTCACATGTCCTTGACATTATTTTCACTAAAGCCTACGTTAGGTTTTGTCTGTAAGTCAGTTTCTTGGTATCTGTGAAAAAGTGGTCTACTATACTTGTAAAGATTCATTGCGAGGTGTACATATGAATAAAAACAAGGAGTGGTATAATTGCCAGTGAGACAATGATCAAATAACATGTGCGGTCACATTCTCAGATATTTTAAGTAATAGGTCAACTTTCTTTCAACTGACCTTTTCATGGTAATAAGTACATGGTTAATTTTTTTTAGCTTATATCTCTTTCTCAGTTGCTACTTAGTAACAAACATTGCTTGATCAATTTAGCAAGGTGCTTATCTCAAAGACTGTCAACATTTTATTCTATTTTGGAGGCAAGCATTTTGGTGTGTGATTTCTGTTTTTCAGTAACTTTCATTATTATTAATTCACCGCATAACACTGGCTTGTAGTACTGAAAGTGTTCAACAGAAAAAGAGAAATAGATTTCTTTCAAGTACAAGGATCAAGAAGAGACTTTTTGTCTCTTTTCATAGGTATGCTCTTTCCGGTGGAGGCGTCAACAATGTATTAGTTTGTGATTAGGTCTAGTTTATGGTGAACCACTAGTGGTAGGTCAATGATATTTGGTATGCAGTTGTATTAGCATTGGCACATTTCATTTCCATGGAGATTATTTGGCCCTGCTTCCTCAGTCATGGTCTATTGACTTTGAAACTTTGGCTTAGTTTAAATGTATTAGTTTGTGATTAGGTCAGTTTATGGGGAACTACTAGTGGTAGGTCAATGATATTTGGTATGCAGTTGTATAAGCATTGGCACATCTCATTTCCATGGAGATTATTTGGCCCCGTCCCCTCAGTCATGGTCTATTGACTGAAACTTTGGCTTAGTTTACATGTATTAGTTTGTGATTAGGTCAGTTTAAGGGGAATCATTAGTGGTAGGCCAATGTTAATTGATATGCAGTTGTATAAGCATAAGCACATCTCATTTCCATGGAGAATATTTGGCCCCACCCCCTCAGTCATGGTCTATTGACTTTGAAACTTTTGCTAAGTTTACATGTACAATGTATTAGTTTGTGTTAAGATTAGTTTAAGATGAACTGCAAATGTTAAGTCCATGATATTTGGTATGCAAATGTATTGGCATTTGAAAGTCTTGTTTCCATGGAGATTATATAGCCCCACCCCCTCATCATGGTTCATTGACTTTGAAACTTTTACATAGTTTAGGTTTGTTTAAAGGGAATGACTTATGATAAGTCAATGGTATTTGGTATGCAGTTGTATTACGATAGCATTGGCACATCTCATTTTCATGAAGATTGTTTAGCCGTGTACCTTCAGTATTGGTTCATTGACTTTGAATATTTGCATAACTGCATAACTTACATGTTAAAGTATTGCTATTTTAATTTCAATATTTGCATTATCAAAATTACAAAAAAAGGCGAGACATATCTCTGTGTTAACAGTTTATTGTATACAGCTTTCATATTTTAATAAGTTTTAAAAGTTGAGATCTCACCTCTAGTCTTTGTTAGTCTTGTGTGTTTTTATGATTTTGGTTCATTTGTATGTTTTGGAGTCTGAACTAGTATACATTATTGTACTGGAAGTGTGATGAGATGGTTGAAGCTGTAAATTTTCTCCTTGACAGCATCTATGAATGTTTTGGCAAGGAAGTTTATTGATAGGCTGTAGGTACAATGTATTCGTATGGGCATCAAATTCACCCCTTATAAAAGCAGACTTGTTCCTGTATTTTTATAAATCACAGTTTATGGCCACACTCAGTAAAGATCTGTCTAAATTACATTTTATTGATAAAGAACTCTCTAAATATACTGCCAAAATTTACCCAAAGGAACATTCTTTAAATAAATAAATACTGTCCTTTCTTAGATTTAGATATTCCTGTTTTCAGGAAACTCTACACACAAAAATTTACAACAAAAGGGATGATTTTCCATTCCCTATTGTTAATATTCCTTTGTCCTCATCTAACAGTGTTTATATATCCCAACTCATTCGCTATGCTTATGTATTTAGTGACATTTTGGATTTCAATGAATGCAATCTGTGTATTACTGATAAATTATTAATTTGAGGATTTCATTACCACAAATTATTAACCTGTAAAATTCTTTCATAGATACAAAGATTTGGTTTGGAAGTTAGGTTGTACCTGTAGAAAGCTTATTACAAACAAGATGGCACATCCTTATTTGATTTATAGAGCCCAAAAATTTAGATAGGATCTAGGTAAACTTTTCAATGCTTTAAATAAACTTATTCTAAAAGGTTACCAATTTAACACTGTAATTAGATCTTTAAATATTGTTTTTGTCTCGCCTGCGACAAAAGTCGCGGAAAGCGAGACATAGGGATTGCTTTTCAGGTGACGGCTGCGACGGTGGCGTCAACAATTGTTAAGTTTTCTACTTAAGTTAGTTTGATAGGAACTAATTGTGATAGATCATTGATATTTAATATAAAGCTGCATTACTATCAGTACATATCAGTTTGACGACTATTTTGAGGCCCAACCCCTGATTCATGGTCGTCAGTGGTGTAGCTAGGCCATTATTAAAGTGTACATCCGAACCTCATGGAGGGTTTTAGGTCCCCATAGCTGATCCAGGGCAGAAGACACCCCACCCCCGCCCCCCGCCCCAGGAGTTCACTCGTTATTGAGAAAGATATACCAATATCTGTCATTAAAAACTCATCAATAACAACATACTTGGTTGGTTAAGAACAAACTTTACGACAAAAGAGATGATTTCAGCCTCCAATTGTAAATTTTTCTTTTCTATATAGCAACATTCCAGCAGGCAGTGACTTTGAATTAATAAGCAATTCTCAATGTTAAGTTTTCTGCTTGAGTTAGTTTGATAGGATCTACTTGTGATAGATATTTTGTATGAAGTTGCATTACTATCAGTTCATATCAGTTTGACGACTATTTTGAGACCCTGCCCCCTTGGACATGATCCAGTGATTTTGAATTAATTAGCCATTTTCAATGTTAAGTTTTCTGCTTTAGTTATTTTGATAGGATCTACTTGTGATAGATCATTGATATTTAATAAAAAGTTGCATAACTATCAGTGCATCTCAGTTTGTCGACCATTTCTAGGCCCTGCCAACGAGATCATGGTCCACCAACTTTGAATTAATTAGCAATGTTGCTGTCCATCAGATTGTCTTTTTCTGAATTTTATACGGACAGGTGAGACATGTCTCTGTGTCAACAATTTATTTATATTGGTGTAAATATTGAATTTGTTCACCATATTTAATTTCAATTTCATTTTTTTCATTTAATTAAAACACAACTAAATAGTATTGATATTATACATTTACTATTCTACATTTTGTTGATACATGTATCTATATTTTGGCAATGCACAAGATCATGTTTTTGTGTTCAGATATGTACTTTGTGTCTTTTAGTGTTTTTGTAAGTTTTTTTTTTTTGTATCGATCTGAAGAGTTAAGCTCTTTTCAACTGATTTTTGTCTAGCCTGCAAAATTCACGGAAGGCGAGACATATGTGTTGCTTTTCTGGGGATGACAATGTCATCTTAGGCGTCAACAATTGTAAAGTTTTCTGCTTAAGTCAGTTTGATAGGAACTACTTGTGATAGACCAATGATATTTCCTATAAAGTTACATTACTTTCAGTACATATCAGTTTGATGACTATTTTGAGGCGCTGCCCCTAGGTTTTTTAATATAAAGTTGCATAACTATCATTTGCTGAAATGATCTGTCAAACGACTTTTAGTTAATTAACAATGTTGCTGCCCATCAGAATATCTTTTTCTGATTATTCTGCCAACAGGCGAGACATATCTCTGTGACAACAGTTTATTATAGTTATTGTTTTGTTGTGCTGTTGCCCCACTGTCCCAGGTTAGGGGAGGGTTTGGAGCATACTAACATGGTTAACCGCGACACATTCTGTATGTGTCTGTCCCAAGTCAGGAGCCTGTAATTTAGTGATTTTAGTTTGTTGCTGCATATGATATTTGGGTTTTTTTTATTGTTTTTATTCATAAATCAGACTGTTAGTTTTCTCATTTGAATTATTTTATATTTGTCATTTCAGGCCTTTTATAGCTTGCTATGTGGTATAATGGGTTTTGCTCATTGTATGCTGTACAGTGACCTATAGTTGCTAACTTCTAAGTTTCTTGTGGAGAGTTGTCTCATTGGCAGTCATACCACATCTTGTTTTTATATTGCCATAATTGCCAAAAAAGTAAAATTAGAGTAAAATGCAAGTAAATATCTTAAAAAAATAGACATTAGGTACAAAAAGTCTGACAATGGCTAAAATTCCAGAATATCAAGATCTATCTTATCTCCATTGATATAAAAAAAAAACAGACCACTCCTCAGGAAAAATTACCCTTATATACTTTTTGTCAGAGATTTTGCCATGACAGAATTATATGCTTATAATAAATAAGACAAACTGTAAATGGCAAAAATGATCATCAATACAAAATGTACAAAAAGTGCTATTATAACTGAAACCATCTACTTACTCCTAATAAAAATTATTGCCCTTAAAGTTGATGGAGGGATTTACCAATAGAAGCATTTTAGCCTATTAACTTGAAACTATTACCAAAAGACCAGCACTGAACAGCTGAAATGATCAGTAAAACACAATACCCATCAGTTATTGCCCTCAAATGACTAATTATAGCATTCCTGCCTATTTACTTTAAACTATTTCAAACAAACAGATGTCCTGAATATGCATGAAATATTTGCCACTGGACTTTACACAACAATCAATCAGGCATAAAAACAAATTGCAAACATCAAAAATGATCAATCATACAAGATCTACAAAATACCAGGATAACTAAAACCATCAATTGATTTCTTGGAGGAGTTATTGCCTTTAAATGTCTAATTTGATAAATGTTTTCATTTCTCATTATTACTTTGAAAGAAACTGCAAACAGTAAATTTAAATGATTAGTAATACAAGATCAGCTGATTTACAGAAATGCCAATGTGATTTAGAATGTCAATTTATTCCTTAAAGGAGTAATGTCCCCTAAAATACAATCGTTTTGCCAATTACAACATTTCTTTTTTTTTCTTGAAAATTATTACAGATAAGCAAGATTTGAAGGCAGACAAACTGAACAGGATAAACGATCAGCAATACAAAATATATTCAGAAAATGCCAAAATAACCATCAATTGACTCCTTGTTAAGTTGTCGGAGTTATTGCTTTGAAAAAGACGATTTTTTTAACAATAGAAACATTTTTACTTATTTATCTTAAAAACTATAAAAGACAGACTGTAAACAGCAAAAAATATCAGCAATACAACGGCTGCTAAATGCCAATATATCCGCTAAATGAGAAAAAATAATACAAGATCAGCTAATTTACAGAAATGCCAATGTGATTTAAACTGTCAATTTATTCCTTAAAGGAGTAATTTCCCCTAAAATACAATTGTTCTTACAGGAGTTATTGGACTTAAAAGACGAAAAATACCAATAAAGCATTTTTGCCTATTGTCAACTTTTACACAAATACCGATATAAGATCTACAAAAATACCTATCTGGTTGAAACATCAATCGATTCATTAGAGGAGTTATTCCCCTTAAATGACAAATGATTTTAGTTTGTAATTTAAATTACAGTGTTCAGACCAACTTGGACGCCATAACGAAAAATAGATGAGAAGGTTAAATGGAAATTGCCTAATATCTTAAAAATGTTGTAGACAGGGAAAATGCTTATTCCGCGTAAATCATAAAAAAAATCAGAATTTTTTTTATTGGATTTATTCAAATTATTGCCTTTAATGAATGTTGATCATTTTAGATAGTATCTTGAAAATAATCATGGATTTAAACTGTGAACAGCAAAATTGATTACAGCCTGTAAAGGCAAATTGAGATCTACAATCATTTCATTTTTTGTGAAATATTTGGTGATTGCATAGCGGGCCAATTGATGCATGGTGATGGTGGTGTTTCATAAGTTATCCCGATTTTTCACGTAAATCAATTTAAAATATGTTAACTGGACGAGCCCATTGGGGCCTCTATCTTTTAACAGCACCAACTTTATTTGTTATAAGTGGACATCGCTAAGTAAAATTTTCCTTCAGCCAGGGACGAGCAGGCTGACTTAATCTCATGGTTCAGTGATCATGTGTCAACGGATACTTGATAGGCCTACTGAATAAGATGTATGGAATGATTATAATGCTACATTACTAAAAATCATTTTGAGGTGATGAGGCAATTTTTATCGATTACTATAAGTAATAGATTGCATATATCATACCTATAGAATGATTGTAAGGTGACTATGTCTGTCTACAGGGTTCATCTGACCTCATTTTTATGATGGTTAATTTGAAATGTAATATTTTGTGATAAGGTCAATTTTTCAATCACAAACCCACAAGGGTTGACTGGGGTATAGGAATGATGGTCTTCTTCCGACCAGCAGTAAAACGCTTGACAAAGTGGGGTGTCCGTTTGGCTTTGCGGGATGTATAAATTCGAATTCACGCCCGGTCAGAATGGGGACGTTAAATCTAATTCCTTGTGTAGCCGAGAAGGTGTCACGCTCTCTGCACGTTAAGAACCCTTGCAACAACTCCTTAAGGGGTCCGTATGTGGCCTTTGCGAGGCTAAATTTCTGTCCCTATCCTTTATATCCTCATTTTCCAGTGGCATTCCAAATTTCCCGCCCTCATCCAGTTCGACACCATAATACAGGACCTACCTATTATACTGAAAATGCATGAAATATTTGCCACTGGACGTTAAGCAAACAACATACAAATCAAAAAGTAGAGACACACACCAACATTTATGCAGCTTCTTTATAAGTAAACGATAAAAGATTTCGGTTTATAGAATCAACACAAGGTGTCCATGTTTATCTAACAAATTCCATTTGACCTTGACCAAATGTTCATGTTTTGTTGATTAATGTTAAGTTTTCCTGATTAGTTTCTCGGTTACTGTACTTTTATGGATTTACCTTGATCAGGAACGCTCAAACAAACAAAAAGTAAGTCCAGGGACAATCTATACTAACTTAAGTATAGACTGTCCCTGTTAAGCCCAATGTTGTTAAAATACCTAAGTAATTTGAGAGCTAAATGACCAAAAAAGGGCATAAAAAGAATAGCTAAAATCCATCTCCGGTAAACTTTACCTGATAGAGTTAGAACCTTAATTGCTGAATTTATCATCGGCAAATTTAAGAGTTGTGTTATAAATCATGTCAGTACCGAATCACTACTGACTGCCATTGGCGATTGCCAAATAAACGGACCACAAGATGTAACAAAATAGATCTTATTATTAATTTATTACCAAACAGAAAACAATAAACTTGCGGAAAAGATGGTATACCGCAAACATGAGGTGCAAAAATTTGTACACCATATCCGGATTTCGACAATTAATGTCTCTTCAGTGATGTTAGAAATCGAAACGGTATTTGGAAGGCCATATAATTTACCTCAAATTAGGATAGACTTGAATTTTGAAGAGTCGAAATAGGATGAACGGATTATATAAACCCGAAGGCAAATATAAAACAAGCCCAAACGAAAAAATATAAACAAGTCTAAATTGAAAACATATATATATATACATTATGTACAATGTTTAAATCATTTGAAACTCTTTGTTTACAAACGACCATACCCAGAATTAGCATAACTTTTTCATTCAGTAACTGTAGAATTGAAATAAAATGCAAAATAATGGGATTCTACAATGTTGTTTACTAGTTAAAAATAACGGAATTGTCATGTTCTTTTTAATCATTAACAAATCATCACATATTGTCATTTTTATTATATCCCTAAATGTCATAGAATACGATAAGACGACATAGTTATTTGATCTCTGCCAATTTTGATTCCGTCTGCATTTTCGTTTAAAAACACTTGTTCCATGTTTCTTTCAGTTCCGTAGCTGGTTTGTTCCATATCAACTTCAGCATATTCCAACCCTTTTTTGAAGTCTTCAGAACATAATCAGAATTTTCAGGATGCATTGCAGTGGAATAAATGCCCATGATCAAACTCTGAACAAGTCTTGCACATATACATTCCTTGAGTACATTCAGATCTGCTTCCGGTATGAGAAATTTTGCTAGAAACCCCGCCAAAGTGTATCCTCCTGCAATTATCGGATCTAAAATGTCACTTTCTAGCATGATGTATACCATGGCAATAGCCACTTCAAATACATAACAGGAATACGCAGCATCACCGAAGTCTATAATACCTATCACATGATAATCGCCGTCATCATTCTGTTGGACTAGGATGTTTTGTTCATTAACGTCTCCGTGAATGATGCCTGAAATCATAATATCATTATTGTACAACATTGATAGCAAAGCAAACAGTTCAAGAAAAGTATGAAATTTAAAAAATAAAAATAATGAAATGAAAAAAAAAGTTAACATGTTAAATATCACAAATTTTAATGTCTGATTTTAACATTTTACAATGTTATGAAATCTTTATTAAATAACAAATATATCCATTTCTGATTTTAACATTTTACGATGAATGCAAACATTTAATTTTCAACAACTTTAGACTTTTTCCTAGACGGAATTTATTAACTTTGGTTTGTAGGAATGAAATAAAAAACTACCTTTTTTAAGACTACTATAATTCTGAACAACGTTTTTAACAAACACGTCGATCACTTCACCGGCAAGATTCTTTTGTTCAGTATCTTCTATATAGGAAAGAAATTCAAGAAGTTTAGGAACTTCTGTCAGGCTCCATATTCTTTTATGGTTGTCAAATCCTACATGGTGAAAATCCTACAAAGAGCAAATGACTTACAGTTACATATGTATAATGATTGATATCAAACCTCATAGAGGTTGTACTCATTCTCAAATCTGTTTATAATTCCCTCATGGGTAGTCATGGTCGTTAAACATCTCCTAGTAGTGGTTGTTTATAATTCGTGTGAACCTGAGGTGTGGACAAAGTGAAAAAAGGAATAAATCTGAATTTGACCCTAAAAAAATATTTAATTATTTTGTTTATAAATTTCACAATTCATAACTTTGTTGCTTTTTCAATAATTGTGTTAGTAGTCGAAAGTAAAATATATATGAAATTGTATTTTCTTTATTAAGAATTGAATAAATGAAAATGTTACAACTTTCCCATATTTGAATGGAGTTCTATAAAACAAACAGTTTAAGATCTCCAATTACATACATGTTTTTTAATTTTAGTTCATTTATATGTTTTGGAGTTTAGTGTGACGTCCATTTTTTATTTAGGGGCCGACTGAAGCCCGCCTCCGGGTGCTGGATTTTCTCTCTGTGTTGAAGACCCATTAGTGGCCTTCGGCTGTTTTCTGCTCTTTGGTCGGGTTGTTGTCTCTTTGACATGTACATTTCCCATTTCCATTCTCAATTTTATTTATTTACCAGACATTTAAAAAAATCTAATAAAGAACAGCCCTGAAATAAATAAACTGTGTTTTAATGTAGGTTTTATAGTGTGTATTTCTATGTTGTGATGTTACACTATTGTTTCAGAAAAAGGGTGAAGGTTTGGTACCATTAAAACGTTTAAACCCGCTGCATTTATTTGCACCTGTCCTAAGTCAGGAATCTGATGTTCAGTAGTTGTCGTTTGTTGATGTGGTTCATAAGTGTTTCTCGTTTCTCGTTTTTTATATAGATTAGACCGTTGGTTTTCCCGTTTGAATGGTTTTACACTAGTAATTTTGGGGGCCCTTTATAGCTTACTGTTCGGTGTGAGCCAAGGCTCCGTGTTGAAGACCGTACTGTGACCTATAATGGTTTACTTTTATAAATTTGACTTGGATGGAGAGTTGTCTCATTGGCACTCATACCACATCTTCTTATATCTATATAAAACGCTCTTTTTCTAGAGGAATAACTTGTTACTTGTACAGGCTAATAACAGATACGATTGAATTGCTAAAAAAAAAAAATATAAATATATAAAACAGTTTTTCTTTCAAATCGTTTTTTTTTTTAAGGTTAAGCATTCAAACCTAAAGTAAAATCGTGTTTCTGGACATTGAAAATTACTTCACAAAAAAATTGTAAAAGCTTCGTGTGCTTCTGCTGCAAGCATTCCTATCGTTAACAATCATAAATAACTATATAAACGTACAACTGACATGATGGATGCTGTAGAATGTGTCCCCGTGCTTGTAGTGTATGCCCTTATATGGATTTTTTGCTTGTGAGAGAGCTGTCTACTATTAGTTTTTTATCATTACATTTTTTCTATTTCTTTAAATTCAAGTTAAGGTCATCTTATTTTCCCCCTTCTATGGTTTTACTAAGAATTATTATATTTTCTGTGTTGCCCTGTGTTTGTTATATGTTCTTTGTGGTTTTTTTATGTTTTTCTGCTTTGTATCGATCTGATGAGTTAAGCCTTTTTCGACTGATGTTTGTAGTTTGTTCTTATCTTGTGCTGTTACACCACTGTCCCAGGTTAGGGGAGGGTTGTTTAACCCCGCCACATTCTTTATGTGCCTGTAGTTCAGTGGTTGTCGTTGGTTCATGTCTGTCATATTTGTTTTTCGTTAACTGTTTTGTGATAAATTAGGCCGTTAGTTTTCTCAACTGAATCGTTTCATATTTTTCATGTCGGGGCCTTTTATAGCAGACTATACGGTATGGGTTTTTCTCATTGTTGAAGGCCGTACGGTTATCTATAATTGCTTACATCCACTTTATTTGAACTTTGGTGGATAGTTGTCTCATTGGCAATCATACCTCGTCCTCTTATATTTATAATGTAAGAAAACTTACACAACAGCACTGGTCCAGCTCTCCAGTTAACTGTCCAACTTCATAGGCAATATCTTTAGTATATGATAAACCTGCTAAAATACGACCAGGCAGGTACTCAAACAGTCGAACAATATGATGTCTTCCACCTGAAATAGTGAGGGTGTGTAACAAAAATAATGGTCCTTGGAATAACTGGGATTAGAAGGCAACATGAAAAAATATACTTTTGTCATGAAACAAAATGTACGCAAATTTAAGAAGCAGATACTTATCAGTAAATATAAAGACACATCATAAATGAATATATTTTTTGTCATATCTTTAATTTGAATGTCGATATACATTTTTCAGAATGACCAATAAAGTAATGTTAACCTGGTTGAAAGTCTGAAAGTTGCAATTAGCAGCCTTTGGTTAAGGATACCATCTTGTTTGTTTTTTTATAAGGTATGTGTTTATGTGCCTTTTGAATGACAAAAAAAATCCAACAAATCTCGTCATTGTGATATACCTGCCAATATTTCTGTTGACATCAATCTGCCATCTAAGCTTTTCAATGGTTTGGGCGTGTTGATTTCTTTGTTGGCAAGGTGATGAATAAGGACATTCTGAGCTTCTGAAACCGAGAATTTATATTATTCTATTGATATAAACAAGTAGAGATAGAGGTATACGTTAAGAAGACAGCAACCAAAGACGAAAATAACCAAAAGACATATAGAGGGTAACATATACAGCCTTCAACAATAGACTTATATCGACACCAAGCTCCAAACCGTCCCGTCTTAGTTTTATTATCATGGATGGTAAGGTAAGCTGGGATCCTCGATTGTAGAAACGCAAAGCTTAGGCTAAAATCTCGGGCTGAAATGAAGTGGGAATCAATTCGTTACAATTAGTAGCTGTAGACGCCCAGTAAGTCATGTAAGTTCTTGGCGACGTTTTGGTCCATTTGTATGATCTTGTGTTTCATACATCCAAAACACCGCGTGTTCATCTAATCAACACAAAATAAGACAGGTTGTAGTTTCCTCGAAATGTACAAATTTGGCAGTCTCAAAGAAAACAAGTTGCTTTCTTAAAAAAAAGAAAAGCAACACGTGAACCCAAGACCGCTGACTGGTCACCAAAAAATTGTTGCTGAATTTTTGTTTGCTTTTGAATTGAAATACTTGACTGTGAATAGATTAAGATAATGACGATGTTAAAACACCTTTATTAAAAATATGTAATTGTGTGTTGATTCTTGTATAAATCAGTTGAAAGCAATGTAGAAAAGTGTATATATACAGCTACTATTGAATATACAGTTTAAGGCTCGACTATTTTATTTATTACTTGGGAGTGTACATCATTTTTTCATAACCCTTTTGCAAATCCAAGTTTCTACAAACTGGATGTCTAATGCAAATTGCACAAAACAATCGCAATATAAGTTTAAGCACTCAGTTTGCTTTATAATCTGGATGCATTTATTTTATCTATCATATCTTCATATTTTGTTTCCTGTATGCCTTTAATTATTCTCAACTCGTTATTGAAGCTGTCTGTAATCATGGTAGATGTCAGAATGGCGTGAGTAATGATGACCGTGCTTGAAAGTCACATGTCAAGCTCTTACTTCCGTGTCCTGAATTTAGATAAGAAAAGCGAAAATTCACATTCACGAGTGAAATTAATATTTATGCATGCACGTGGTATTTTTGCGCAAGAAATAGTAAATAGAAAGCATACGCACTGATACTCTGGATAAGAATACGCATTTGCGTCATCACATATATTAATCTAATAGTTGAATTCGGATGTCAAACTACCTACCTCAAGTGTTTTGACTCCGGATTCATTGCCATTTAATCCGGAATTTGTGTGAACGCAAACCGATATTGTGCATGTGAACAGGGTGATGTATAATGTGAATGAAACAAGACGTGTAGGATAGCTGGTCAACACAGTGAATGCAATTTTCAAAATCGTACCATAGTGCAAATATTTAAGATGCTATAAGGTTGAACTATTAAAACAAACAAACAAAAAAAAGAATTGAAATTTTATAATTAACATACATTCCTGTTAATGATTTTTTTCCGAAAATTTAGAATATAATATCAATAAACACAAACGTCAAGTATTTACGGATGGACATTTTATCTATCAAAGCAATCTCTTCTTAAAGTCTAACATTCCACTATTTGAATATATTGCTACACAAAATATAAGCAGAGACTTATAAATCCATACTAAAACAGTATAAAATAATTAACATAGTAATATTGTTATGATTATTGTAAAATATTAATTACGTTTTTTGTGGGATGCAACGGGATTTAAAATTCTTGTGAATTGGAACCATGCAAGTTTTTTTTCCTTCACGACCGTTTAAAATTTAGATATTTAGCTAACTTTGGGTACGCATCCCTGCTCATTGGTGCTCATACGTTGCATATGATTTTCATAAATGTAAGTTAATGACTGTTCAAACCTGTGAGACATAATGCACGTATATTTGACATTTTTAAATGTATTCTATTAAGAATAAATTCAGTCTCAGTTTAAACTTAATAATGAATATTCTCTTGGTCTGGTAGTATCTATTAATGAAATTAGATATTTTTGACAAAAAAATCCTTTTGTTTAATTATCTTTCTGCTTTCCGACCACTGTGTTTCCGACCTAAGATAAATATTTATAACAGAAATATCGTTTTCTTAATTGTCTTCATACTTTCCGACATTTTCCCATGCTATATATGATTGATATACAAATAACAAATGATAAACATTCAGAAATAATCAGTTTATTCTGGGACATTACATATCAATAAACTATTCCCAGTTTTATTGTCACAGTGCACAACAGCACGCTGTATTAAATACTACACACACAACGCGTACAGGGACCGTCTCAAAGCATGAATTATATAATTGCGTTATCATTATACTTGATATTTAATAAACATTCTTATTATTAAAAACACACATGTTTTGTCAAAAGACAAATAGGTTCAAGCATATAAATGATTTTTTGACTGCGACCTAGTCTTTATTGTTTTACTTTCCAATCTACAAATAAACTTTGATTGTTGAAATATACAATGCCACGCGGAAGCCTATCCATAGAGGGACCTTACCAAAGACCTGTATAAATGATCAAAAACCCTCAGGGGGTTCACGCAAAAATAAATATGTAACTTTTATATAGATATGACAGAAAAAAGAAGTACGGCAAACTTCCCCTGAATTTCTTTCACTAACAGGGTAAAAAAAACACAACATGACAAAGTCGTTTAAATCTTGAAATTGATCAACATCGAGTGTGAATAATATGCACTAAAGTTTTACAATAGTTTTATACATAACCATAAATTCCACGCTATTTATTTTGTTGAAAACAGTTTTGACGCTGGTTCATGTCGGTCATATTTGTTCTTCGTAACTTGTTTTGTTATAAATTAGGCCGTTAGTTTTCTCAATTGAATTGTTTTACATTTTTCATGTCGGGGTCTTTTATAATCGACTATACAGTATGAGTTTTTCCTCATTGTTGAAGGCAGTACGGTTGCCTATAATTGCTCACATCCATTTCATTTGAACTTTGGTGGATAGTTGTCTCATTGGCAACCATACCACATCTCCTTATTTGTATACTGATGCAATATCGCGACTTGTTTTTATAAAACTTTGCATTGAAGGGCATTCTTATACAAAATAAATAAATTTGTATCTGAAAGACAAAATACGTTAACTTCAAAATGTGTTTTGGTAATCGGTCCTTCTTTAGGCTTTTTGCGAAATTGCATAAAATTTGCCAAAATTTACCATCATTCAAGTTTTGAGCATATCATATATTTTGGTTAATGGTTCTATTATGTCAAATTGTCAGAACTTCAAAGTACACACAAGAAACTGTACACTATGAATATAAAAGGTCCTGGCTCTGAGTGTCCTAGTGAAATACATTCAGGTGAAACTGGCCCTTCCTTGTTATACCAAAATCAGAATTGAACTTTATGAATCCCTGCTATCCAATTAAAACTAACAGTAAACTGCGAACAAGGCTTAAAAGAGGGACGAAAGATACCAGAGGGACAGTCAAACTCATAGATCGAAAACAAACTGACAACGCCATGGCCAAAAATAAAAAGACAAACAGACAAATAATAGTACAGATGACACAACATAGAAAACTAAAGACTAAGCAACAAGAACCCCACCAAAAACTGGGGGTGATCTCAGGTGCTCCGGAAGGGTAAGCAGATCCTGCTCCACATGTGGCACCCGTCGTGTTGCTTATGTTATTACAAATCTGGTAAATAGTCTAATTCGGTAAGTCACATTCGTGAAAAGGGAAGGGTATTGTAGTTACGACATAAGGAACATATCAGATATCATCTGTGAAACTTAAGATATGATAACCCTCTTTCCATTCCTCGCAACGTCCATGATTTGCTAAATTAATCCCAGGAATACTTGGATAAAAAAATAAGAGCACAATGTGAATATTCTGAGAAAATTTCAATAAATTCTAATTAAGGTTTAAGAGATTAAGCTATGGCAAAGTCCATGATTTACAAAGAAAAACAAAATAGGAGGTGCACGATGGGGACTCCCAGATAATGCAATGATAAAATCAATGATTTTCAAAGGGAAATCCCGAAAATATTTTGAATCAAAACCAAAATGAGAGCAAAATGATATTATATGGTACAGATTATGAGAAAGGGTGGACTTTCATTAAATTCTTATTGTGAGTTTAAGAGAAGCGGATATAAATGTGGACTGTAGTGTGTAAATATGATCAAGTAAATGTCACGTCGAAGTAATCCCCAGAATTTTTTGGATGAAGAAATAAAAAAAGAGGTACAACACATTGAATGTAGTCGTTCATACGGAACCCTAAAGATATTAGGATTGGGTTTAGAAGTATGGTAATCAGTGGATATCTCCCGTCCTGCAATGAAACCTTGCTTAAGTTTGGCGTCCGTTTGGCTATGCGAGATGTATCGGAATTGTACAGCGAGTACTACGTTCTCTCTCTCAGGGGTCCATATGTGACTTGTTGCTAGTCAACTTATGTCTACCACTATCCAACAAAGCCTGGTTTTCCAGTGGCAGTCGAAATTTCAATACTCTCATCTCGGTCGACTAACATTGCAGAGCGTAACCTATACTTTTAATTGTTAATTTGTTCTAGTCTTGAATATGCAGGATTCAAATACTTGCCACTAGACGTTAAGCAAGCAACAATTTATCAATTAATCGGTCATGTACCTGAGATATGAGTAATAATATATGAATTTTACCTTCTAGACTCAGTAATATTAAATTTGTCCTTCTGTATGGAAGTGAATGCTGGAGAGTAACAAAAACAGATATGAGATCGATCTCAAGTTTCCACCACAATTGTCTGAGGCGACTTGCAATATCTTCTGGCCAAACCGTATTTCAAATGAACATCTCCTTGAAATGACTAAGTCCACATGTATCCTCAGAGAAATACAACAGAGGCGCTTCAGATGGCTGGGGCATGTTCTCATGATGCCCGTATCCAATATTACCAAGATAGCTCTTAGATGGACACCCCAGGGGTAGAGACTCAGAGGAAGACCCAAAACCACCTGGCGTCGAACGATTGAAGCAGAACTGAAGGAGCTTGGCATGACATGGGGAGAAGCCGAAACAAAGGCTAAAGACAGAACTGGATGGCGAAATCTTAATTGTTGCTACCTTATGCTCCACCTGGAGCGAAGAGGATAGGTAGGTAGGTAGGTAGGTAGACTCAAGCTAGCATCCATCTGATATTTATTTTCAATGCAAAATACAGAAGCTTCATTGAGTGGCGGACCCAGAGGTCCTGGAATCAAATTCATTTCTTCGAATTTTTTTACCACGCAAAAATCGCCTAAAATTAGACTGGACCCCTTTTTTTAAGACAGAATCATTAAGAACGTTCCCTGAAAATATGCCAATAGATTTGCTCCTGAGCCACTAAAATTTACTCACCTATTGCTTCTTCAAATTCCGAATCCAAAGAATTGAGTATTTTCAGAACGTATCCATTAGATGATACACTTTGAATGTTAGGATTAACACTCTCTCTTGTTACTTGCACGTGAAAATTTCGATCATCATAACTATTAAGTTCTTTCATATGTAAAACATGCAGACCATAAAGACTCCGTAAAAGTTGTGTAACTTTCTGTTGATCGATTTCTGGTCGAACAATATTTCCAGGCGTTAATACAGTACTGGTCATCCTTTGTGCATGTATGCGATGCCTCAACATTAACCAAAACCCTTAGTATGTTCACAGTTGACATACATATGTGTGTATAGGTAATTATTTATTTCAATGAGGTCAGTCATAAGTGTTCTCGTTAACACCAAACAAAAACACCGAACTAATCTTCTAGATCCAGTCTGTTCTTTTTTGAAAGTCTGAATACACTCATTACACACATCTTATTACAGATGTATTTTGTTTATATACCTCTGTAGATTTATTTTTATCTGTTAAATGCTCGGGGTTTAATGCAACGATGCTTGCTGAACTTAAATCGTACATAAACCGCTGGGGGGGTTGCACTTTATTCGATAAAGTCCAGAGCCTGAGTGGCATAAATACCTTCACGCTCTTGACAAAACTCAAAGCAAAGGGGCGCTTTTAATGCGGTCCTTCGTCTTTGTCTTAGCGAAAAGTCTTCCAAACGGAGCAATAGCTCACACCTCGCTGAAATTTCTTTTCCGCTGCAAATCAAATCTAAAATAACGTATAACCGTCCTAGTCTTGTCAAATTCTATAATTCTGTTCTAACTTGACAGATTGTGAGACTTATATCAGTACTATTCACTATTCAAAACTTTGTATAATATTTGTGACAAGAAATCAGACGAGAAAAAAATATAATTACAGCTATAAGAGTAGACTCATAAGGCATTACTTAAAAGGCTAGTCTCCCGATTTCAGTTCCCAGGTTGATAAGGGTATAAATGGTAATCTCTGGACTTCCACATCCGATAGAAATCACCGTACTTAAAGTGGCTATTCTTTTGGTTGTGACGTGTATAAACACAAAGCCATGTCCGGTTAGAATCCCCCGCGGACGTTACATCCAATGCCTCCTGTAGGGAGGGACCTGGGACTAATACAAGCTATCTATCGGTCCTAGGTGCAACGCACTTTCCGTTAACTGCAGCAACTCTTTGAAGAATCTGTGGGTTGACTGTTTGATAAAGGCAGGCAAACTTTCTACCTTATCCAACATAACCTCATTTTCAGTGGCAGTCTCTCCTTAAATATACATGAAATATTTGCCACTGAACTTTAAACAAACAATAATCATTCAATAGGCTCAAGTCTGTATTATGATGGTACCTGTGGAATTGTGTATTGCATTTTTCGAATTGTTTCGTCTATATACGTGATTAAAATTTGATAATAGAAGTTGTGTATATATATATTTTCTATCTTTTTGAAATAGGTTTCTCGATACTAGAGTAGTTATATTTTTGATTTCATTTTACATTTTCATCATTTTTCCTATTTTTCAAAACTTGATGTCTCTCATTCCTACGAATTTTATATATACATGTTATAATTACTTTATATGTATAAATGGGACTGGAGTAGCCCTTTGATTGATTTTTTGTGCAATACGCGACTTTCAGTACTATTGACCTTCTCATGACAGACATTAGTTATTGATGATGGAAGCTGGAGTGCCCAGAAAGAAACATCGACAGCTTACCTGGCAATCCTAGTCAAAGATAGTTCGAACTTACAACAGGCTAGCGATACAGTAGCTGAATTACTTGGACCACTAGGCTACCAATGCCCCCGTGGTCCTTAGACAGTCCTTGTGGTACTCCAGACAGAACATATGGAATCCAATATGACACCAAACATTACACAATGTTGATTGATTGTGGTTTGCTTAAAATCCAGTGGCAAATATTTCATGCATGTTCAGGACAAGAACAAACAATAGGTATTTCCTACAATAAGGTTCAAACAGAATAAAGGGCAGATCATTTGAAGTGCCACTGAAAAATGTGAGTACAAATGTGCAGGATATTGGATAGGGACAGACATTTAGCCTTGTATCTGGCCACCTCAAATTGGTACAAGGGTTCTTAACATACAAAGTGTGTGGCACTCTTTCAACACTATGCATTATATTAAATGTCTCCATTCTGACCAAATGTGGCTACAAATTTATTCATTCCACTTAGGCAAGGGTTTTATTGCCAGTTGGAAGACCAGAAGTGATTACACTGCTATGCCCAGGTCACCTTTGGGGTGCACAATTTTGAAAAATATTTTCACACCATCAATAATCAAGAGTAGAACTATTTTCTTTCAAAACGATTATTTTACATTTCAAGACCTTGACACCTGAATTAATAACATTAACAGTACCAATTTTACTACACCAGATGTGCAGCGCTTTAAACATTTAATATCTTTACACTGATGCCAATATATTTGAAAGTCAAAAACCTAATACATACTTTGAAGAACTGATAAAACAAAAAATATACACAAACCCAGACAAGGAATCAGAGCTATAATAGAAAAACAAAAGATATGAGGTATCCATACAGGACACAAAATCAGTACATGACACAGCAAAAAACAAAGGATATGAGGTATCCATACAGGACACAAAATCAGTACATGACACAGCAAAAAACAAAGGATATGAGGTATCCATACAGGACACAAAATCAGTACATGACACAGCAAAAAACAAAAGATATGAGGTATCCATACAGGACACAAAATCAGTACATGACACAGCAAAAAACAAAAGATATGAGGTATCCATACAGGACACAAAATCAGTACATGACACAGCAAAAAACAAAAGATATGAGGTATCCATACAGGACACAAAATCAGTACATGACACAGCAAAAAACAAAAGATATGAGGTATCCATACAGGACACAAAATCAGTATATAAACAGCAAAAAAAACACAAAAAGCAAAAGGAACAGCACTTTTATATGCATGAAGGAGATAATTCCTTAATATACATAATTTCCAAACTTTTATAATAGCAAATTTCAGTAAAACAATATCTGTATTTTCATGCCAGTACTGGATACTGTGCTGGTGATTTTCTTAAGGACTACCAGTATCAGCAGAGGTATAACCCCAGTGGTAGTAAATGCATTGAAGGTACCAATTTTACTGCACAAGATGCATATTTTGACAATTGACCATCTCTTTGGTGATGCTCAAGGACGAAGTATTTGAAAATCTGAAACCTAATGCTTTCCTGGCATCTCAAGCTTTCAAAATAAAATGTATAAAATTTGCATACAAGACCAGTATGATATTCTTCCTTTATATTTAAAATTCAAACTGTATCCTTTTATGAACAAGCATTTTGTGCCCCCATTACATTTTAGTAACAAATGTTCTATTAGAATTTTTTTTCCAGCATACAAACTGAAAGACCTACATGAAAAAATAACACAACTTAAATAACAACCTTAATAACAACAAAAGTGAGATCATTATAGGGGATAAAGTCCTGCATTTTTTATTTTCAAGGAATAAGAAAGCAACAATATATTATTCACTTTTTATTATAAAGGGAAAACAAATATATAACAAAATATGAACATCCTGGCTTTGCTTCACAAAACCATCAAAGCAGCCTTCTCACAGAGCAACACATCTCAAAAATAATTTACACTATTTAGTATTGTTAACATAACAAAATCTGATAATTAAATTGAGTAATTCATTTAATTCATATAATTTCTTGACAATGTTGACTGGGAGAAAATAACAGAACTTAGGACCGGTATCTAATTGCAGTTTTACATTTTGATCCTAAAATTCACTATAAAACATGTAAAAAGTTATATTTCAGTGGTATGATAGCATATTGTAGTAGCAGTTTTTGTGTTACATTTGAAACAACCCATAAACAAACCATCAAATTTTCTTAGTGTTGACATGAGAAGTGAAGGTTTCAGCAAGAATAAATCTTTCTACATCTGTGAAAACATCTAGAATTCCATATCTATAAACAATATGTTTAAAAAATATTTACACACAGCCTCATATAGCAGTGTTGGTTTTAATATGCTCATGGCATAATGCAATTACACAAAATGGCTGGAGGATAAGTATAATCACACGTATACATGGGAATGCATACGAAGAGTGAGGTTAACCAAAACATTCTATACTGAGCTGATGCTATGATACAACATTTTGTTCTGTTGTTGGTGTTGTACTTTGTCCATATTTATTTGATAACACACGAGATACATAGTTCCAATATTCACTTCTTATAGTGTCAAATTCATCTGCTAATGATGTGCACATCTGAAAAGATAACATATTTTCATTGAAAGAAGTTAATAATCTATTTTAAGTTATCTTATACACACATATAGTCTCTTTATTTGCTATACAGCATAATGTGAAAAGCATGTTATAAAGATAAAAACTCTCATAAAATGTGGCATTGGAAAATATTGCAATTTTTATAATGAATTATTTGATATTAAACAAGTAAACCTTGAACTCTGTACACAATACTGTTGAATATTTTCGCTTCTTTTTAAGCTCAATTCAATTAAATTACTGTCATTTATTCACACATCTTTGGCCATCAAACTTCCAGCAATGGATTTTCCCGATGGTTTAAATGCAGTAAACTGAGTAGATAGGAATTTACCAACTTGTCAAGAACAAGTAATTTTCCTGTTATTTCTCATTAAAATTCTCCCCAAGGAATTTAATGAGTGTAATAATAGTAAAATTGGAATATTAATTTTTATGATTTAAAAAAATATAATATACCTGTACAGATTTTTTGAGTGTTTCCTCTTGATCACCATTGTTGTTTTCTAACATTTCTTCGTATGCATCAATCATACAAGCTATTAAATAAGGTGACCGATATCTGTCATTGTACAGTTGTTGACAGAATTCCATTAAACCAGGATATGTACTTAATTCACGGTCTAACAATACTCTGAAAATAGACAAAAGGTCATTAAGATCATCTTTAGTAAATAGAAATGACTCGTTTGACAGTAAGATATACTATCTATAAAGATAACTTTATCCACATAAAAACTTGTGTACAAATGTATCTCCAAACAACTGCTTATTCATATTCACTTTAGAAAGCATCTCCAATACATAAGAAGTTTTTTTTCTACAAATAAAATTGTGTTATCTCCCTTATACTAGACAAATAACTTACCCTTTCAAATAGTTCCATGCACTTTCATTGTTTGGTGCTTTTTTGATGAAATCTTGGGTGTAACTGAAATTAAAAAAAAGTCTTCAAATACAAAAATTCAATAACAAGAGTGAAATATAGGAAATGTAGTGTTAATTAAATATTTTAAAATGAGAACATATATGCAAATCTGACAGGTGTTATTAGTAGGAATCAGTAAAAAATAATTGCAAGATAAATAATCAGTGGCGGATCCAGAAATTTTCATAAGGGGGGGCCCACTGACTGCCTAAGAGGGGGCCCCGTTTCAGTCATGCTTCAGTGATTCCCTATATAATTAACCAAATTTTTCCCACAAAAGGGGGGGCCTGGGCCCCCTGAAAAACCCTCTAAATCCGCCTCTGATAATTTCCAAAAGTCCAATACCTGAATCGAAATTATTGAACCAATGCATGCATATATACTAAAATAAGTCCTGTATGCACGTTTTTTTTAAATATTGATTACAAATCTATAACCTCTTATCGACAAATAATATTTCATTCAGTGATTGTCAATCGCAAGCTAATCAACTTTTTAGTTTGTTGCCGAAGTTTATCGGCTCGTGACATTCAACACAGAGCATGTGGAGCATGTGAAAAATAAGTGACTTAATAGAGCCATGATATTTTTTTTTATATTTTCCATGTGTTCCCATTTGTAAATTAAACTTTTCCTTAACAGTTATTAAATGATTTGCTGTATTAAATTTGTTCTTTAAGAATCAGTTATTACCTTCCAGTGCATGTTTGTTTGCATTCTTTCATCACGGTTTTCCCCTCGCAAATGCACTATGTGGTGTTCGAAGTTCTAACGAGAGGTCATAGTTCAGGTCACTGAATGCAGGAAAATATCGTCGAATTAGTGAACAGGAGGCCAATAATTCAAAAGCAGCACATTTATGAAGATTTTGATAGTATAAAGGATTTTCTTTTACAGAAAAGTTCATGTACACTTGTTTTATATAAAACTTAGCCATTCAAGTATATAAAACATATTCAACTTTTTTTAAAAAATTTGAAGTGTGAACTTTTATACGACTTTAAGCAGCAAATATCTTGTTTGCTAAAACAGATACCAAGTAGAATTACCTGACTTCTCGATCAACGACTTCATCATTAAACCCTGTTGTGTTGTTGATGACAAAGTATCGTTGATTCCATGCAGAGTTGTTCCTGAGGTCTTCTACGAGTAGTTTGTTGACATAATCTAATTCATTTTCCCATAGATTAAATTCCCTTATAACCCATTGCCTGAAGAAAAGAGGTTTGAATCTATTATAGCAATGTGACATTGTATTTTTGTTTATAAATATATGCTTGAAACAAGAATGACAAGTTAAAATAAATATTGTTTTTTTGTTTTTTTTGTGTATAGTTTTGTTTGTTTTAAAACAAGCAAATAGTTATAATATTTCACATTCTGGTTTAACAGATGTGTACATTTCACTTTTACTAATGGTACTTTAAACTTTCAAAACATTGACAAACAAACAATACATATATGCATTCATATAATATAAGAAAGAATAATAAGTCTAAAATCAACACTATAAAATTTCTTTCATTTGAATATTTCATTTCATACAGAACATTTGTACAGTTGCATATTAAATTGTGATTTATTTGGACATTTTAGAAGTTTGTATAATTACTGACAAATTGTCGCCACTGGTATCAGTTTACACTGGATCCTTGTGGTATACCTGAAAAACATATTAGCAACAGACAAAACATTTAAAACATTTTAAATCTAGGAGTGTTTAAAAGTCATTCTAATTTGAGAATGTGTATAAACTATTTATATTAAACCTATCTTTAAATTTTCTATTAACAAATATGTACCTTTTTGTTATGTCTGTTGTATATCAAGTCTGCCCTCTGTAAACTCTAGTCAAAAGTTACAGAAAGCAATTAATCATACGACACTTAAGATTATGGCATACCGATGTTGCCAAGCATGGTAATTTTTTGCGTCCCCTCTAAGTACTTTTGCAGTAAATTCTAATTCTTCTTTTGGATCTCCTAACCATTCCACAATAACCCTTCTGTGATGCCTGTAAAACATGAATTATTGAACTATCAAAGTAAAGAAGACCTCTCAACTTTATTTATTGGGGATATTTAACTTAAAAAGAGTAAAAGGTAGAAATAAATTTCATTCACAAAGTTAAAATAACAGAAGAAAGAAACCACATAATAAATAAGGGTTGTTTATAGAATAATAAATTGCTTCACCAAGCGCAGCTGGATACGACCGCAGAGGTCCAACCCTGAACAGTTGGGGCAAAAATGGACGCAGTATTCGCGCTTGATACAGGTCTGAATTTGGATTGTAATTAAATATTTGATACATAAAAGGTTTCTGACACAGAATAACTGTAGTCAAAGAAGTTAGAATTGGTTATATGATTTGAATTTATACTTAATTTTTTGCTTTTGTGCAATACACTTTGCTGTTGCAAATTGACCCCCCCCTTTTTTTTTTGCTTTTGTGCAATACACTATGCTGTTGTGCAGAGAGATCCATACACCGTTCCACAAGTTATTGTCTGGAAACTAGAAAAATGCTTATTTTTGGCCCCTAATTCCTTAACTGTTAGTACCATAACCCCCAAAATCAATCCCAACCTTCCTTTTGTGGTATTGAACCTTATGGTAAAATTTCATAGAGATCCATTCACTTAAACTAAAGTTATTGTGCGAAAACCAATGTGTCTTCGGACGACGACGACGACGCCAACGTCATACCAATATACGACCGGTCGTATAAAAAGCACTTGCATGAAATTTAGTAATTTTTTTTACACAAGTTGGGGTATAAGTGGATGTATGCAAGACATCTTTCCTAGGATATAATGGAAATCAACCAAATTTCTACTGCTACTGGATCAATTTCTGTTGTTTTAATTTCATTATTATAGCAACAAATAGATATATTGTACAATGTTAAATTCAATGTCAATCACTTTCCTTCACAACCAGGGGTTCATTTAGGGCAGAGAAATAAGTTATTTTTGATTGATTGATTGATTGGTGTTTAATGCCACTTTCAACACTAAAGTGCTATTTCTTGACGGTCAGTTTTTATTGGTGGAGGAAGCTGGAGTGCTCGGAGTAAGTTATTTTTAAGTCAAAACTTTAATCGCTAACCAATATTTGAATACTTTATAAAAAGTATAAAAAATTAAATATTGAGACTGTTGAAGAGGTTGGTAATCCTTTCCTTTCTAAGCCTTATACAAAACAATTGGCTGACAACAATTGTAAGGCACTCCAATATCATACTGTATTTCCGTATAAAACACAACAGCTCTGACTGCATGTGCTATCCGTGACAATGTTAAAATAATGCATAGAAAAACAAACGATAAGCTTGATACAACTCATTTAATGGTTGTAGCATAAAATGTAACTATAAGAATTGAATGTTTCTTTTTATAATTTTATATGGTTGTTAAGTGTTAATAAAGTTTTTATATGAAGCGCTGCTGAGCTTCATGCAAAAATGAGATTCAGTCAATGCTTTTACACCCAAATAAAATTGTAAAAAGAAATAGTCAATTCTAAATTAAGTATGCAGGTAGATGTTGTACCAATATCTTAAATGGTATAGTCTAACAACTATTACTTTAATATGACAGAATTAATTTACATAAAAGTTTTGATCAGGAAACTCCAACATCAGTGCTTCTCCCCTATTCATGTAAAATTATAAATAATTCAATAGAGCAACAATAAAAATCTTAATTTAAAACCGAGAGAAATCAAGGACACAGATGTACTACAGATTATTTTTTTCCAGGAAATTATGGGGTCAACATATTTTTTATTCATCCTGTGGTGTAATATATTTATATCATGTAATCTGGAAGTAACACGCTACACAACCTATGTTAACATAAATGTAAACACTAAAATTTCCAATATATAAAGGTACAATACCTTTCATAGGTTCGATCATAATATACAGAAATTGCTAATAATTACAAATTTAGCTTTGGGTTTCTTTCTTTTTTTCCCTCACATAGTCCTTAGTTTACTTTAAACATATGCATGTATTGCCAAACCATAAGGTAATAAGCAAGAATTTGTATGAGCTTTGCTAAATTTTTCCTGCACAGAAATTGTAAAGATGAAGTGGAATTCAAAAACTGATAGGATTATAAGTATGCTCTTTTTTGTACTTGCACTGCTAACAAACAACTTACCTGTGGCTCTCCTAAAGTAGTTTGGTAACTTTTCTGACACAGTTTGATTCAAATGAAACAAATTCCAATTTGGTCAGAACTTTAAATTAATAATTGTAATAGGTGGAGTAAAAAACTAACAGTTAAGTCACTGTAAACTATGAAAGAAGTTGAGAAAAGAAAATGTTATTTTTCATAGCATTGAAACTTCTAAACAAACCCGAAGTATAAATACATATATCAGCTCCAAGAAAAAGTCTCTACGAGCTTAACATATATCAGCCAAACCCTGAGAAAAATTCTCTATGAGCTTAACATATCAGCCAGTCACATAATATGCCAAATCCCATAACTTTTCTGTGTTTGAAAAACAGTTGGATTTTTTGTGTCAAATCTTCTGAATGTCACCCTCTTATCTCTTATAAACATAAATTTTTCCTGTAAATTATATATACTAAGAATAATGACCAATCTTCATACAAGATGTCCACAAATTTGACAATAAAACCCTTGTGTTTCTGATTTGACATGACAAGAAATTAATTACGGGAAACTTAGATACATATCCTCTTGTTAAACATAAACCAAGATTGATAATTTTTCATTCTTTAATACTGATAATATTTCAATGAAATTTTTCCTCGAGCTATAAGAACTTAAAGCACTGAATCATATCCTTTCTTTGTTTAATACCAGATATGATAAAACTTATTTTCAGACTTAAGTCCAAACATTTTCAGTTTTTAGGACATCATATTCAGATTTATAATTATAGAACTCTTTAATACTCAATCAATGGTAAAATATTTCCCCTTTCTTTCAAAGGTGACCATATGAGGATAGTTGGTATTTGCTTTGTAAGCATAGTATCACTTCAGCTCCATTCTGTGGGACACATTTTTTCAATGATTTGAAGCAAATCAACTTTATAAAGTTATGCTACATACTGTAGTTTCACTATATGCCAAGAAATTTCATAACTTACCAAACCTGATAATTTTTAGGGTGTTCTGTTATAACTTGTGTTATATATCTTAATTCTTCTTTTAAATCTTTCTTTAATTCCTTCATTATTGTTCTTCTGTAGTGCCTGAAAATGCAAAAGAATAAAACATTTCAGACTACATGGAGTTTTCTAGAAATCCTGTGGGTCCTGTAAAAGGACACATTCTCATGGAAAAAAAAAGAAAAAGCATATATTTCTAACTGTTTTAAACTTATCTCCCAATTTTTGATTTTCAAGACAGGATTTTTGTGTAAAAATTTCCAAAATTGGAAAAAAATCCACTGTCCTTGAAATACCCAGAAAAACCACTGAATTTGTAATAGTAAATCTGTATTCTGTGGAACATTTACACATGACTATGATATATTTGGTACAATAGAACTATACTTCTGTTATTTACTGATATCAAACAAAAATATTTTAAGCATCCTGCTTTTAATTAAGGATCAATAGATCCAATTCTAAACATAGGGATTATAAAGTAAAGTTTGACTCAATTTGATCGAATTATTTTAAAGACGACTTTTTTTAAATATGAATAAAGGAAACGTGGGGTTATGGTATACATTGACAATACAGAAACCCAACACAATAATATTAAAGACATTTGAAGGTCAACCAAAGTTAACAATGAATGCATCATGCTATAATAGAAATGGAGAATATGTTCATGGGACACAGATGATGCCCCGCTTGCATATAACATTATAAAGGGACATAACTAAGAGAACTGTAAAAGTGATGCCACCCAAATCTGAACTTGATCTGTGTTTTATGGTAATAAGTATTGTGTATAAGTTTCATAAAAATTGGTTAAGGTTAGAAAACGCAGACCAATTTTTGGATGTACATACAGACTGACAAGGGTAACACTTAATGCCCTTCGTCTAGTGGTGAGGACTTAAAAATATCATACTGGTTTGGTTCTTAAGCTAAAAATATAGCCTTATAAGAGCTAGAGCATGGCAAACTATTGATTTGCAGAGTTCTCGAAAAGTGGTGGTCTGAAGGTCCTGACCACCACAATTTGCAAAGGACCAACATAATTTGGGTATTTTGAAAAAGAAATAATAGCGAAGACTAGCAAATATTTTCAAGGACCACTGGTGAAAAAAAGATTCGAGTAAACTCTGCATTAAGTGTCTCTCGGGATCAATTACACTTTTCTAATTCAGGAGAAAAACTAGATAAAATGAGTTTAAAATACAGAAATTCGGATATTTAACTGACCGACTAGTAAACTGTTACAAGTTTATTTGTAGTAAATAACTGTCTTTACCCTCTTTAAATAAAGCATTTATTATTATTATTATTATTGACACTATCAAAAGAAGACCCTTTGACCTGCATCTTATTTAGGATAAGTGATAACACAGATCTATATTCTGACAGTCATAACAGTTTTCAAGGACAGTTTGTCTGGTAAAGACAACCTGTTAGTAAACGAAAGTATTTCCTGTTTTTTAAATTTTTTGATATTATATTTTGTTCCTGAATGTTTTCTTATTCCTATAGCCTAATTAGTCCAGTACAGAACCGACTATCTACTGAATCAGTAGTTTTCAAGACTTTTCAATGTACAAAAGATCTTTGAAACAAGTAATAGAGGAATAAAATTTTCAAACATATACACTATTTTGTCATTTATTCAAGGCATTAAGAATTCAATACAGTACACATTTAAACCATGAATATTGAATTGGAAATGAGCCATATTCACCACAAAATATTAAAGTAGGTAAATGAACAGCCATTAAATATCCCTTTACAAATTAATAACCTTATAATTTTTTGTCCTAATTCAAATTGAATTTAGTTATTTCAAAATCTCCATTTTTTTAAATGTACGTCATAATAGTCTCCATTAAACAAACAATATGAATAATATCAACTTTAATGTGGGTCAATGTTTTAATCTACAATACAAATTTTTGGCTTATCCTATCCTACAATTTGGTCAATGAGCAACTTTAAAAGTATCAGACCAATATATGGTCATTGCTCTTTTCTTTCAAAACTACATTGATTCGTTTATCCATTAATCCTAATCTATTTGTAATAATGAATCATTCGTCTAGTACCCTACTTCATTGTTTTTATGAGTGGGGTTCAATACACTAGCATGATATAGCTATTTTGTGCTTGGGTAGGTTTTAAGAAAACAAAAAGCAATCAATTATATATAATATAATTCTGAGCATTGACAAAAAATTATACATAATATAATTCTGAGCATTGACAAAAAATACGACTTAATTCTTTCAGTCTGACTCTCCATTTTATTGATGAGGGAACAGAGGTAAAAAGTGTTCAATTTACTTATACCATGAATTACTGTGACCAGACAATATAATGGATCTATTACCATTTAAAACCTTTATCACATATCACCACATGATAAATCAAAATGATTAAGAAACAAAATTCCCATCTGTTAAAAAAAGTTACAGACAAGAAGAATGTGAAGTAAGTTCAAATCTGAAACTCCACATGGAACTGACAATTCAATACTAACATGATTAACATGATTAATTGGTAACTGTCGGTGTCAGAAATAAACACTAAAAAAGCACTGAAAACTGTTAGTTAATCACTCAGCTAAAGTTTTGATAAAATAGGAAGTATGTAGACCATGCAAGGAACCCATATACCAAATATAGTTATCCCTTAACTCAAGTGAGAAATTCATATGACAAAAAAAAACATTTTTTTTAAAGCAGTCACTGAACCATGAAAATGACGTCAAGGACCATGGACATATGGCAAATAGAAACTTTGTAACCTAAGGTATCTGTATACAAGGTATAAAGCCTCTAGGTCTTCTACCCTCTGAAATATAAAGCTTAATACAAATAGTTTACCCCGCTGCCACAAGAAAGTAATCCCTATGTCTCAGGCGAGACAATAATATGATAAAATCATCCAAATTGCTTTATAAACCTGTGAGAATTATAATGGCTAGAAACTTTTTAAATCAGAATTGTAAAATGATCAGAACCTGAAATCTTTCCAAGTACTGACACATCACATTAAATCTTTTTGTCAAAATTAAGAAACAGCATCTACCCTTAACTTATTTTATATGCCTAATTCACAAATAGCAACCACTTGGCACCTCTACAGCTTATCTACTCTGAGATGAGAACATGCAGGAATCTAATTATCTGAGATTCATTTTAAAATAACAGGGCAAGTCAAAAGCAGATTCAAAGTTATTTCACTTTTTTGCCACAAGATAATTACCAGCAGATCATACAGGAATCCAAAATGATGTTATGATCATCAAATGCATGTGTTTTATACCCCAGGGTTCTCACCATCACATTTTTTGCAGATGAATCCAGGGACTCATCATTTTTAGTCATGGCGAGTTCATAGTTTTGAAAAATACCAAAATCAAAATAATCAAAACCTAAAATCATCCTTAATGTCTTATGTTTAAAACATAATAGAAGGAAACTAAGATTAAAATTACTACTTTTTTTTGTCCTGCAATGATGATTGATTCTCAGTTCAAATAATCTTTGTGCAGCTCAGTACTGGTCTGTTTAAAAATGGTAAATCCAGTTTACTGTTCAGGAGTCCAGGACTTATTGGCCCATCTTCATGTGAAACTAGATTTATATTGTAATCAAGGAAGAAATTAATTTAAGATTGAATTAGTTATAATGTTGCAAGATGAAACTTCCACTAAAAAGTATGTCATAACTTATTTCAAACAGCTGATATAAAAAAACTTTATGGATAAAAGAAATGAGGTACATTATAAACCATATGAATAAAAAGAGTTGTGAAGTATAGATCAATGAGCTAGCGAGAAGACCCAATGACACAAAAAAAAAAAAAAAACAAAGACTTCCCATAAGGTCAACATACTTTCTTTAATACTTAAACACTCAAGTATCTATACAATATGCCAAGCTCCAAATCAACCCTCATTTCTTAAATAGTAGTCAATAAATTTAAGAGATTTCCTTTTCTTTTTATCCTGATGGTTGGGGATTCTCATCAGCTTTCTCCATCAATAAAAACTGGCTGCCATGAAATAGCCAATTATGCTGAAATTGGCGGTAAACACAGAAAACCAATCAATGACAAACAAAAAAAGTTTGAAAAATGCTTAATCTAAATATTAAGACTGATACATAATGAGAATTTACTGCTGTAAAAATGGAACCAGGATTTCTGTAAATTATTAGTACATAGAATGCTCCTGGCAATGCACCTTAAGATTCCCTACTGGATGGAAATATTTTCTCATCAGATTATGTCATCACAGATTACTCATGGAATATCTCCAAAGATTATTGATTTCTGCATTGTTTACCATAGATTTTCTTTTTAATCTTGTTGACATGACCATTATTACATTACTTTTTTGAATTTTGATAAAGATTTATGTAACTCCCTCCTCTTTCAACTCACCGTTCTGTCCCAATGCCAAGTTCTGTCAATGGAATATTGATTTCTTCTGAATACATTACATATTCTTTGAGAATCAAAACAAGATTTTATTTATTGATTTTCCAACCTTGGAAAGTAAACATGTTATTCTTTTCTATTTTGGTAACAAGGTTCAACATATATCTACTTTTAAGTAGGGGGTTGGGAAATGGACCAGAGAGTCAAAAGAAAAAATCTATAGTTAAAGATAAATGGACTAGACACAAAATAACCTTGAGTTAGAGATAATGTACTTCTGGCATTGTATAATTTTACCCTGTAAAAGTCATCAACATAGAAAACATTCAAGATTATAAGAAAGATATTGATTGATGAGTTAGTCACATCATGCTGCAATTTAAAATACATTTTCAGGACAATAACATGTTCATTCCTTATGAATGCCTGGTATGGCCTCTTTGTTGACTGCACAAGCTGAATCACCCTAAGTTCTTTGGTTTGACCTAAACAAGCAGCATATACCTACCCTAAGGTCTTTGGTTTAACCCGAACAAGCAGCATATACCTACTCTAAGTTCTTTGGTTTGACCTGAACAAGCAGCATATACCTACTCTAAGTTCTTTGGTTAGACCTGAACAAGCAGCATATACCTACCCTAAGGTCTTTGGTTTAACCTGAA